AATTAAGGTAACCATACTGGGGCCGGCCCCGTGGCTTAGCGGTTAAGTGCTAGTACTCCTCTACTGGCGGCCTGGGTTCGGATCCCAGGTGCGCACTGACGCACCACTTCTCCGGCCATGCTGAGGCCGCGTCCCACATACAGCAACTAGAAGGATGTGCAGCTATGACATACAACTATCTACTAGGGCTTTGGGGGAAATAAATAAATAAAATTATAAAAAAATAAATAAATAAAATAAAAAGCTTCTGCACAGCAAAAGAAAACATCAACAAAGTGAAAAGAAAATCTATGGAATGGGAAAAAACACTTGCAAACTATATATCTGATAAGGGGTTAATATCTAAAATATATAAAGATTCACACAACTCAATAGCAAAAACCCAAATAATCCAATTAAAAAATGGGCCAAGGACCTGAATAGACATTTCTCCAAAAAAGATGTATGAAAGGGCAACAGGTACATGAAAAGGTGCTCAACATCACTAATCATCATAGAAAGCAAATTAAAACCACTATGAGATATCACTTCACACCTGTTAGAACAGCCATTATCAAACAGACAAGAGATAACAAATGCCGGCACAGATGTGCAGAAGAGAGAACTCTTGTGTACTATTGATGGGACTGTAAATTGGTATAGCCACTATGAAAAACAGTATGAAGGGTCATCAAAAAATTAAAAATAGAACTACCATATGATCCAGCAATTCCACTTCTGGGTATATATACAAAGGAAATGAGAAACTAACTAACTCAAAAAGATATCTGCACCCCCACGTTCACAGCAGCATTATTTACAATAGCCAAGACATGGAAACAACCTAAGTGTCCAAAAATGGATGAATGGATAAAGAAGTTGTGGTATATACATACAATGGAATATTACTGAGCCATAACAAATGAGGAAATCCTACCATTTGTGACAACATGGATAGACCTTGAAGGCACTATGCTAAGTGAAATATGTCAGACAGAGAAAGACAAATACTACACAATCTCACCTATACGTGGAATCAAAAAAAAAAAACTAAACTCATAGAAAAAGAGATAAGACTTGTGGTTACCAGGGGCAGAGGGTGGGGGGAGAGAGAACTGGAGGAAAGTGGTCAAAACGTACAAACTTCCAGTTATAACACAAATAAGTAGTAAGGATGTAATGTACAACATGATGACTATAGCTAACACTGCTGTATGATCTAGAGGAAAGTTGTTAAGAGAGTAAATCCTAAGAGTTCAGATCACAATAAAAAAATTTGTTTCCTTTTTTTCTTTCTTTTCTTTTTATTGTATCTAAATAAGAAGACAGGTGTTAGCTAAACCTATTGTGGTCATCATTTCACAATATATGTAAATCAAACCATCATGCTGTATGCCTTAAACTTATACAGTGATGTATGTCAATTATTTCTCAATAGAACTGGGGGAAAAAAAGGAAATTATCTTGGATGAAGAAAGAACCCCAAGTATCCCTATATATTACATATGATGGAAGTGAACAGGCATTGGGATCATTGACAAGAACTGCCTAGAGCCATTCCAAACATTGCCTAACAATTATTTGTCTATCAAAATACATTGCCTAAAATGTGGGTACTGATTACACACGCCCATTATAACTGGAAGATATACATAATTCTAAATTTTAAAGATTATGTTTGTTATAGAAAGTTACTTAATTGCCTAGTTTTAAAATATTCAATTGTCTTTGTTCTCATATCCGAACTCTTAACTTCTAATTCTTCTTAGAACCACAGGACTTTAAAACAAGAAACACCTCCCTTCCCATATTTTATAGACAAGGAAACAAACAAAGGTTAAGTAATTCTTGCCAGATGATCTAACTACTTGCTAGGACTAACACCAACTTTTCCACTGGTTTTTCCCAAAATCACTGCTAATAGAAAAAAAAGTTAACATGGAGGACTGTACATGGAAGAAAAGCACCAAAAAAAGAAGTTACAGCTTTCTGATTCACATCATGTTTAAAAGAACATCTGGAACCTTCTTCTCTCATCATTTATAAAATCTTCTCTCAATCATTTATAAAAATGATTGTCTTCTCTAGTGGGAAAGAGGACCGGGGTGGGGGGGGTGCCATTATAGATATCTCATATAATTAATACTTGCCATTCTCAAGCCTGAGGAACAGTTTGTTCTGTTTGTAAAATTACACCCTATGAAATGCAAAAATCAAAAAAACAATTCCAGGGTCTCTTACCTGTACAGAGAAGTCCATCTTTGTAGTAAAGTGCATACACTCTGGCACTGTGTCCAATTAATGATGAGGTCTCAAAGGCTTCATGGTCCTCCAGTTGCTTCATTCTCAAAATAGCCTTCAAATAAACCTTCTTCCAGTGCAAAGCGTCCTGAACAGAATCATCTATCTGCCAACCCAAATTCCTACACGCAGTCTGCCACACCTCTGTACAGGCACTTATCACCTTATTCCACTGTTTAGAGACGAGGCAACACGTGAGTAAAGTCTGAGGATCGAGCCATTTTAACAAATAAAAACTGAGCTCCAGGGGAAGGAGTTTGAGGAAGTCCCGCTTGAGGAGAGTCTCCAGGTTATTGGAGAGATGCCTGAGCTGGACTGCCCCACTCAGACTAATCAGGTGATCCAGAGTTTCATTTTTCTGCAAGTCCGTCAGAGAAAGAAACGTAACAGAAATGTTATCAAGCCATGTCTCAAAGTCCTTTCTCTCCATAAGGTTATGGAAAAATTTACCTGTGGCACATCAAAATATTGTATTAGTTCTGCTCAAAAACACCGTTCAAGCAAGACTGCTAATAAATGAAGTATTAAAAATTAGTGTAAAAAACTTGGCATTACAATTTTATGCTTAGTTAACTACAACACAACTTTACAGTTGACACACTATATTTATCTGAAAATTTTCCATGCACACAAAAGAAAATACATTTGAGAAAACATACTTTAACAAATTATGATCTCCAAAAACATAAGTCAGTAAAACTTATGTTGGTGTGTATGAACTGCTCCTTTTGAAGTCTAGCACATGCTACATGCATCTTCACAGTAAAAGATTTACAAAGTATTCATTCATTATGAAACAGTGTATTTTATATAATATACCTCCCCATCAAAACTATGGTAACATGATTTCCTTAATACACTCTATCTGGACAATAAATCACAAAAATAAGCACCAGGATGTGACAATCAGAAAGTAGGTTCCCAAGCAGTAACCTGAGACATTAGTTGTCATGCTAGGAACAACCTGACCTGTTACCAAAATCACGGAACTGACTACTTGCTTTTGCGATAGATGTTTAGGCAAAAGGGCTTAGGGAAGAAAAATCAGCAGATGCAATAAACTATGTGGCTCAGGTATTCCGGTTCTTCCACTTCCTTTATGGTACTGCCTGTTAGAACATGAATTATCAAAGCCTTATTTGGCTTTACAAAGTCTGTTTTTATAAGCCTCATATGAGCTGGTGACAACTCTTAACCACGTGCCCCAGAGAGCAATGAGGGTCCTGGAAGCCTGCACAAATAAGTCAAACTAGTAATCCTGATGCTTACAAAACACCAAAAACCAGGTATCATCATCTCCACTTTGCAGATGAGGAAGTTACAGGTCAGAGAGGGTAAAGTGATTTGCCTATATTCAACAGAGCTATTAAAATAGCAGAACAGACTGGAAGCCAGTGCTCTCAAGATCAGTCCTCTTCCGACCACACCAAGCTGTCTCTCTCTGAAGCCAGTTACAACCAGGAGGATCACAACCTGGTGATCAAGTCTGGGAGCACGGTGCCTATCTGTTTATACCACCTTCCCTTTTAGGAGAATAACAAAGTGCTCCAGGGCTAACTGGAACAACAAAAAAACTTACAAGTACCCACCATTACACACTGTGGGAAGGGGTCAACTCACTCTTAACAATGGGGACTAAACTAACAGAAAGAAGCAAAAAACAAAGCAAATCAATAAAAATCATCTTTCCCAAGATTGGCCATATGTTAGTAGATATTAATGCTGGGTAATGAGTACATGGAGGTTTTTTATTCTCTTTATTTTCACATGTTTAAACATTTCCATGATTAAAAAAAGAAAAAAACTTTCCTTCTAATCTGATCTCTTAGCTTCCCACCAGACTGTCATAGTAATTTTAAAAATTTATGTCCAAATTAATGTGGACAAGGAAAATAAATTCCTTCCCCTATGTGTCACCTAGATCAGGTCTACACAAAAAGCCAGATCTCATCTTGCAACTTTGCTAATGTAAGGTGAGTAAAAATCATGTTCATTAATTTCCTAATACCAAATTTGGCAAGAGTGTTATCAGACAAAAAGCAGTAGAAGCAACCAAATCTTTCTAATCACATCATCTGCTGTCTAATAGTTTTTGTTTTTGGAACAGCGAATGGACTTTAAAATAACACCCTGAAGCCTCAGGGTTTGGGCTAGTAGGATTTACATCAACTTAAGGATTTACTTGGCTGCCAAAAAATAACCAGGTCACCAAAAGTTTTATCGATTTAACACAAGATAACAAGCCACCTCCTTCCTCTGAATCCAAACAACCTTCCATCTGTAACACTTCTAGAAAATTTTTACTTTAACAAAAAATCATTCACAGCCAGACAAAACAACCCTCTTCTGTGGACGTTCATACAACATCAGAGCAGCTAACTAATTAATACTGGCCAATTAAAAACCACACCAAAACATCTGCCCAGTAATCATTTTTTACAGTGAAGAAGTGTCGGGGACTTCCTCTCTCACACCTACACCTCCACACACAAAGTATGCCACACCATCACAGAAATGCTTACATTTATGTATGCTGAATTATTATTTAAATGGCCAGAAGGCAAATTTAAAATACCCATGAAAACATTATCAGGTTCCCATCATTCACAAATAACTAAGAGATATCCTACAGCTTGCCAAATTAATGTGCTCAAGACACCACAGATGATTATGGACAAGCTTTCCAGTGAGCATCTTTAAAACCTTAGCGATTTCTGAGATTCATATATTCTCCTAATACGAAATTTTTTTTCCAACTCTTAGATTAGAGATTGCCCTTTAAGCTATTGAACTCCTTATGAGAGGCTGTTTTCCAGTTCTTCATCTCTGATTGTCACGATAAAGGCATCTTTTTTTTTTTTTTTTAAATAAAGCAGGCCCCATTAACTCTGCAGAATGCACTTTTTACTTCTCTAAAAAATGAAGTGACTTTGGAGGGAACTTTCTTAAGGTCACAGGTCTAAATTGAACTCTTTTAAAGAGCCTCTAGGAATATCATGTACTGGCAGCACAAGGCCCCAAGGGGAAAACTTCAGGAAGCGGGATTTCAATTCAACATAAGGAGGAGCTTTTAAATCATCAGAGCGTTCCAATAATGGAACAGCTGCCTCCCATTACTGGGAACAGTCAAGGACAGTTGGATAGACAGGCAAAATGGGATAAATACAAATGCTTTGGAGTCAGTCAAATCTTTTACTGATTCAGCCACTTCCTACGTGATCGTGGGCATGTTCAACTAACTACTAAGCTTCAATTTCATCATCTGTAAAATGGAAGCTATCACTCAACCTTGAGGGTTCTGAGAATCTGAAATAGAGCAAGGACATGCTTAGCACAGAGACCAGTCTAGGGTAACTCAAATGGTACTTTTTGTTAGTTTTATTACCATGAATACATGGCAGGGAAGCTCTTAGTGGCCCTGAGGCTGGAACAGACATGACCACTAATACCTCTTTCAACCCTATGATCTTATCATAGTTTCTCTTAAAATGGCTTAAAATACATAGAAGAAAATGTCAAGGGCTCAAATTTACTGGGAGTTTAATTTTATAATTAAGCTCAGTTATTGACTTGAGGCTATAATTTCCCACTAGGTGCATTTTTCTCTCCACTCTACCCACACTCCATGCTGTCTTCCTCCTTTTTTCCCCATTTGAGACTAAACATTAAACTTGCCCTTCTAACCCTCAATATTAACAATCACAAAGCTGTGAAATGGGTAGTGTGATAAAAAGAGTCCTAAATTGGAAGATGGGAGACCTGGATTTGGTCTCTCGTTCTGCCATTAACTCCAAGTTCCCTTAGGCAACTTGCATATTTGTATTAGTTTAAAAGACTAAAGTAGGGGCCAGCCCACTGGCGTAATGGTTAAGTGCCCCTGCTTGGCCGGTGGCTTCAGCGGCTGGGGTTCCCAGATCTGGATCCCAGGCGTGGACCTATATGCGCTGCTCATCAAGCCATGCTGTGGCAGGTGTCTCACATATAAAAAAAAAAAAAAGTAGAGGGAGATGGGCATGGATGTTAGCCCAGGGCCAATCTTCCTCAGCAAAAAGAGGACTGGCAACAACTGTTAGCTCAGGGCTCATCTTCCTCACAACAAAAACAAAAACAAAACAAAGACTAAAGTACTACTCACAGATATTAGCTCATTTGATTTTCACAACCTCATGGAAAGTATCAGTACTATTGCCCTTAACTCATAAATGAGGAAATTGACGGCCCAAGAAGTGGAGTGACTTTCCCAGGGTCCCATAGGAAGCAGCAGTCTTAACATCTTGCCCAGCCCCCACCTTCCCAAAACAAAACAAAACCTTTACCCCTAGGTCTTATTAGAGATACGACATTCTAAATAAAACATCATGAATGCATCTTCCTCTCCTCCACCAAGACGCAGCCTAGTCAAGAGTGAAAGCAAAACACCTGTTGTTGGGGAGGAGCCTTCATCTTCCCTCTCTTTTCTTATCAAGCATAATTAGTAGAGTACAGAGGTTTTGAAAACGTTTATATACATAAACTTCCATATGCATAAAATATCTTTTGGATATTCAAGAAGCTGCCAACTCTGGTTGCCTCCAGAAAAAACTGCAGAGCTGAGGAATAGGGGTGAGGGGCCCTTTTTGAATTTAAAACCATGTGAATATATTATCTATTTAAAAACAGCCTTTAGCTTTAAGACGACTAAAAAACAGCTTTGAAAGAATACAAATAGTGTTTATAAAATAGTGTTTATAAAATAAGGGCTCTGCAACTCCACTAGTTGCCGGGGACCCTGAACAAATCACTTCACCTATCTCAAGCCCAGTCTCCTCACTTGTAAAATGTAACCACGAACAGCATTACCTACAAGGATTTTTCTGAGGATTAAACAGGATAAGGCACGTAAAGCCTTTAGCACAGTACCCGACACAATGGAAGCCAACAAGAAATGCCAGTTACCACTATTACTTAGCACTCATATTGTTATCTTTATTTCAAGCGGCACCCCTCACACACACACCTGTTTCCGTGGCATACCCACAACTATGGCGCAGTCCCTCACGTCAGCCCCGCGCTCTGTAGTTCAGAAACCACCTCTCCACGCTTCATTATCTTTCAAACTCACGGCAGCCCTGGGACATGACTGTTTACTCATTTTGCAGCTAAAGAAACTGAGGCACTAGAAAGCAGTCACTCCGAGACTCAATTCTCCCAGCTCTAAATCGCTCCAGATCCCTTCACCCCGCTCGTCGCTCCAGGTCCCCCGCCCCGGAGCCGTGTTCCGCGCGGCACTGACCTGAGCGAGCGCCCCGGGGCCCGGGACCTCGCGCCGGGCTCACACCGACTAGGCGCGCTCGGGCCGCCAGAGCCTCGCAGCGGCCGGGTCCGCTCCGCAGCCATGGCGCCTGCAGGGAGAAAGACAAACAGCCCGAGGCGCCGCGGGTCAGCAGAGGCGGAGGCGCCAGAGAACTCCCCCGCTCCCCGACCCGGCCCCGCCTCATATACAGACCTGGACCTGCGGCCGCGGCTCCCGGTCCGCAACCTCACCGGGGAGCGGCTTCCGGTGGTGTCTGCGTCATCTCCGCGCGCCCCTCCGCCCGGGGTGCCCAGCGGATGCGGACGCACTTCCGGCCCCCGCCTGGTGGGGTAGTGGGGGCGGTGGGAAGCGTAGAGGGAGGCGGAGCATGCGCAGTACACCTTAAACCTGTGGCGCCTGGACCAAAGCCCAGTTGCGTGCTGTACGTTCGAGTTTGTCCCGCGCGTTTCTGTCTGTCATCCAATCTGATCTTGAACCAACTGTGCGGCACTTTTTCTTATTATCCTCATTTACGGAGGAGAAGTGAAGAGACGTGTCCAAAGTCAAACAACCCATTGAGCACCTATGATGTCCCAAACGCTGTTCTAGAGGATAGGGTTAGTGGACAAAAAGCAGAAAAATCCCTGACAGCCTGGGGCTTACATCCTAGTGGGGGAGGCAGACAGATAAACAAAAATAACTAAGCAAGGTTGGTGCAAGCCTTAGCAAGTGCTAAGCAGAAAAATAAAGCAAAGTAAGGGAGTTGGTGAGCGAGAGTCAGATGATCTAGATTTGAATCCCAGCTCTTACACTCTGGCTGTGCCTATGGTTACTTCACCTCTCTGGCTTTATTTTCCTCATCTGCATAGCAATTATAGTACCCTCGTCATCTGATCGTTCTGAGTACTTAAGGAGATGAAGAATCTTTCAGAACTAAAACTGTGTGCTTCCTATGTGCCAGGCACTCTTCTAATCACTTCGTGTTATTGCACTAGTTCCCACAATAACTCTACACGGTTGTTACTATTATTAGCTCCATTTTTAGAGATGGGGAAACCGAGATCAAAAGAGGTTTAAGCATCTGGACTAAGGTCTTAGTAACTGGCTATCATGGGATTTCAACTCAGGTTCCCTTCAGAGCATGTTGTTCTTGTTTTTCTGTATGGGCTCATAAACGGCATGCACGTACACACATATGCTCACATGCATCTTGTACCAGCACTGTCCAATAGAAATTTCGGCAATGTCCTATATGGCAGCCACCAGCATCCTGTGGCTGTTGAACACTTGAAAAGTGCCTAATGTGACTGAGGAAATAAAATTTTAATTTTATTTAATTAATTTTAATTTAAATAGCCACATATGGCTAATGGCTACCATATTGGACAGCCCTGTCCAATAATATAGACATAACACATAATATAGACAATAAGACAGTCACATATCCAGTTAGTGGGAGAGCACAGCCAAGGCTCCAGTCATCCTGAGTACATCTAGGGTACTTGAAACATGGGAAATAAAAAGTTGACTTTTATGTTGGAAGCCAAGTATGGTGTCCTGAAAGATCTCAAGAGAGAAAATTTGATTTGGTAGGCAATAGGAAGCCTCTGTAGACTTCTCAGTCAGACAGTGACTGATGACAATATTATAAGAAATTCAGGAAGATACGGGTACGCAGATTGGAAAACCTCTATGAAAGAGAAGGCAGTACCAAAGTAATCAAGAAAACCAAGCACCTCTGTCTATTTGTGGCAAACAGTCTCAACTCTAGTATGATAGGAGTTTGATGAATCAAACTGAAAATTCCATTTGGAGCTGCCCCAGAGACAATATTGTTTGAACCTCTCAAGGACAAAGATCTCAAACTGTCTAAGTTTAAGCGCAGAGGAGATTCAGGAGCAAAATTTATGGCTCTAAAAAATGAAATTGCCAAATAGAATTTATGTTTAATTAAATACAAGACCTTGTTAAATAATTGTTAAATTTAGTACAGGTAAAAACTCCCTTTTACTTGAAATTTTTTAGATCAGATTTTTCCCACTTTGTAAAAATCTCCAAGATTGCACAACGATTGTTGAGAAAACACAGCCAACTTTAAACATAATGAGTTATTCATAGCCAAATAATTACAAAAGTTGCTATGAATAGCAGGTAGGAAGATCAACATATGAAAAGAAAAACATAAAATACAGCCTGGCATGAGATCAGAATGTTCAGTACAACTGCTTATGTGACAAGAACATGAAAATATGCTCGATGTTGTTTCTTTTCTTAAAATAAACTTGCTGATATAAACGGTGTTTGAGATAATTCCTATACATGCATGCACTAGGAAAATGGCAAACATCAAATGCTTAGTTTCTTCAATTCAGGCTAAAACAGACTACGTCTTATTTTCTATTTTGAGATAAAGTTGCCTGGGAGAGGTAGTTTAGACAACATCTGATTGATTTAGTAAAGTTCTTGCGTAGCTTATATTAGGAATTCAAAATCCTTCCTAACGGGACACACGCCAAATCGCACCATATGATGTTTCTGTGGGTAGAAAAAATGCACCCACTAGAGATGACAAGTATTCCTTGATGTTTAGTACATTTCTTGTGTGTGCATGTACCAGGGAACAGGAACTACTCCAACTATGTGGTTTCTTGCGATGTACTCCTTGTGTGATGATGCTGTGGAGAGGTGATGTGGGTGAACTGTCCTTTCAACTCCCAAGCATACTTCACCAAGAAGTCAGCATAAAGACAAAGGGTCAGTTTCAAGAGGTACACAAGGTTGGAAGCATTTGAAGAAGTTTGCTTTTTCTATTCTTTGTTCTGGATTCGCTCTAGCTGTAACATCATCAGCACTTGCTCTCCTATGGAGCCAGCAGGTATTCTGGGACAAAAGCTCAGGTTGACTGGCAAGAAACCTTATCCTTAAAGTCTCAGGCACAAAGTACTCTGCTTCAATTGCCGTTAGACTGAGTGATACTGAGATACGTTTGGGCATAATTTGGCATCCAGTGTCAATGATTTCCAAAGCCCTGAAATTGTTCACAGACAACATGCAGGTAAGTTTCTTATAATCTTTGAAGCATTTGATATCTATTAAAATAGGCTTTGGGGAGGCTGAAGTTTCTTGTATGTACAAATCATCAGCACTGAGGAAATGGAGAGGAGTTCAGATTATAATTTAGGAGTTTGTTTTGCTTTGTTGTAATAGACATAGAAAAGTAAAAGATGGGAATCAGGATTCTCTAGTGGTTAAGAGTGAGCTTTGGAATCCTGTAGACTTGAGTTGACATCATGGCCTTACCCCACTTCCCTACCCACTGAGTGATCCTGGGAAAATTACTAAACCTCTTGGATGCTCAGCTTAATTTTGAAGATAACCTATCTGAAAGGGTTATTACCAGGGCGAAATGGGTTAAGGCATGTAAAGTGCTTAGCACAGCGCCTGGCCGACTACAAGTGCTCAGTAAGAAGTAACTGTTATTCTGAGAGGATTTGTTGATTGAAGCTCCAATGAATAGAGATTTAATTCCGTTAATGTCCCCTGGCTCTGTTATATTACAATACTGCATACGCTCTTCCGGATGGAAAGTTTCCATCTCCTTTGAGGAGGTGGAGTGAGCTTGGCACAGGTCCGTGCTAGATTTCTGAAGGGGTGCTAAGCAGATAGCAGGAATATGCCCATATTGACAGACATGTCAGATGGATTAGGCGACATTGTCGAAACAGACAATGTCAGATTTCAGTATTAGATTAAATTGAAAAGTCATACTAGAAGAATGTAAATGTTTTTTTTTTTTTTTTAAAGATTTTATTTATTCATTTTTTTTCCCCCCAAAGCCCCAGTAGATAGTTGTATGTCATAGGTTCGCACCCTTCTAGTTGCTGTACGTGGGACTCGGCCCCGGGTTGGACGGAGAAGTGGTGCCTTTGGGCGCGCCCGGGATCCGAACCCGGGCCGCCAGCATCAGAGCGCGCACACTTAACCACTAAGCCACGGAGCCAGCCCAAGAATGTAAATGTTTGATAGCGGCTATTGTGCAGTGGCCAATAAAAGCAACCATGTCATTGAAAAATAGCCCTTGACCTTTATAATTAGAGAAGAAACTGATTCAAGTGCTTCAATTCCAGAAAGAACATCATATATTTTCCTGTAGGCTTTTAGCGCAATGATGCTACTTGTTACTTTATATTCACGTGTCTGTGTTTGGTTCCTCTTTGCTTCCTTAGTGTCTAACACAGTGCCTTGGATATAGTAAATAGGCTTTTATCCAAACAAGCTAGAAAACAACCAACTAACATTTCATTCAGTTTCTACTTTGTGCCGAACACTGGATTCAGCAGCACTGGAGAAGAGAGAGGCAGGAGGCCATGATCTAGTGGGAGAGACAGATAACAAAAATAATGATAAACACTTAAAACAGTGTACTGCTAAGTGCTGTAAGTACATAGTGTTTAGTAGGGGCAAAACCAGAAATGAAGATGAAGCTTGAAGGAACACGTGTTCTTTTTTCATTTAGGTGACATTCTGCAGACTTTGGACTCACCAGTGGTGTTTCATTCTGTTTAATGTCATCCTATTTCACGCCTTACTTTTTGGGGCTGATTTTGTGGAAGAATACTTTCTGCATGCTTTGCCTTATGTAGATATGAAGGTTCTTGAAATTAAGGATAAGGCAAGAAAATTGAACATGGTGCCTCTAAGAAGTAATCTTTCCAAATATTATATCCTGAGCCCATCAGAGGTGTGTAAAGGGAAGAACATATTTTTGCTCTCTCTCATCTTCAGTAGCCCAGGAAATGGAACAAGGCGGGACCTCATCAGGAAAACCTGGGGTAATGTGACCAGTGTCCGAGGGCACCCCATTCTTACACTGTTTGCTTTGGGAATGCCTGTTTTGGTAACTACTCAGCAAGAGATAGACAAAGAGTCACATAAGAATAGTGATATAATTGAAGGAATCTTCTTGGATAGTGCTGAGAATCAAACCCTGAAGATCATCACAATGACGCAGTGGGCTGTGACTTTCTGCCCTAATGCCCTGTTCATTCTCAAGGTTGATGAGAAGATGTTTGTTAATTTACCAAGCTTGATAGACTATCTTCTCAATCTGAAAGAACACCTTGAAGATGTCTATGTAGGAAGAGTTATCCATCAGGCTACACCCAACAGAGACCCTGATAGTGAAGAATTTGTCCCTCTTAGCGAGTACCCAGGAAAGTATTACCCAGATTATTGCAGTGGTGAGGCCTTTATTATGTCCCAAGATGTGGCTCGGATGATGTATGTGGTGTTTGAAGAAGTACCAATTATGGTGCCTGCTGATGTGTTTGTAGGAATTTGTGCCAAGTCCATTGGCCTTATACCCATCCACAGTTCAAGGTTTTCTGGGAAAAAGCACGTCAGATACAACAGATGTTGCTATAAGTTCATTTTCACATCCTCAGAAACTACAGATGCCGAAATGCCTCTGGCATGGAAGGAAACTAACAATGGGAAAGAATGCACACCTTTTGAGACTTACTATGGGCTCATTTCCTGCAAACTTCTGACATACCTTGACAGCTTTAAACGTTTTCACATGGGTACCACAAAAAACAATGCCGTGTATTTTAGTGATTAGGATTTCTTTATTTTTCTTATGTGTGTTCTATTAAATTACCTCCTACCTCGTTACAGAAAGCATCCCTCCTTCCTTGTGTTTTATGTGGTTTCTCTGAATCTTTAATTGTACTCAGCAAGTTCCAAAGTATTCTTAGTGCTGTGATGTATTACATCATATTGAGATCTCATTTTAAGAAATTTAAGTTGGTGTAACATGATTCTTGTCAAAATAAAGCCTTTCATCCAGAAAAGAGAGAATATTAAATTCAATTCTAGCCAAAAGTTTTGTTTCTCTTTACAATTAATGAATTTTAAAAGTGACATTCTATGGAACTGTCATGACTGTGATAGCAGCGGTGACTGATTTGAGAAAGCCCAGAATTAAAGGAAAACACGAAATAAGGAATTTAACAAAATGGTCATCTTGTCTGCAAGCAGGAACCATTTTAGTTATCTTGGCGGTGGAATTATATTTAATTTAAAAGTATTAGCTACCTAGTATATATTAACTTAAACCTCACTAGTATCAAGCTTGGATCTCTTTTTGTGAAACAATTTTCACAAAGTCCTAATTAGGCAGTGCTTTACAGATGGGATGCAACAAATTCACATTTCATGTTATATGTACAATCTGTATTAGTTTCTCAGGGATGCCATAAAAAAGTACCACAAATTAGGTGACTTAAAACAACAGAAATTTATTTGCTTGAAGTTCTAGAGACTAGAAGTCTAAAATCGATAAGATGTCGACAGGGCCCTGCTCTTTCTGAAGCCTATAGGGGAGACTCCTTCCTCTTCTTGCTTCTGGTGGTTGCCAGCAATTCTTGGCATTCTTTGGCTTATAGACGCATCACTTTCTCTCTGCCTTCACGTTCACGTGGCCTTCTCTTGTGTCTGTGACTTCATATAATCTTTCCTCTGTGCTGTGCCTGTGTCCAAATTTCCCTCTTCTTCTAAGGACACCAGTCATTGGATTTGTGCCCACCATCATGACCTCATCTTAACTTAATTACATCAGCAATCAAGCAAATCAATGACCTATTTCAAAATAAGGTCCTCTGTACAGGTACTGGGAGTTAGCATCTCAATACACCTTTTTGGGGGATGCAATTCAACCTACAACACATATTTTCTTTTTTTTGTGTGTGAGGAAGATTGACCCTGAGCTAACATCCATTGCCAATCTTCCTCTTTTTTTGCTCGAGGAAGATTAGCCCTGAGCTAACATCCATGCCAATCTTCTTCTATTTTGTATGTGGGTCGCCGCCACAACATGGCTGACGAGTGGTGTAGGTCTGTGCCAGGGATCCGAACCTGCGAACTCTGGGTCACTGAAGCGGAGTGCACCAAACTTAACCACTACGATGCCAGGCCAGCCCCTACAACACATACTTTCTGATTTCTCTTGTACAAGGACTAGGCACTAGATTGTAGTCCCTATCCTGAGGTTCTCGGGATTTTAGGTATCCCCAAAGTAATATACTTGAAAATCTCTGCCATGACACTTATTAGATCATATTTTTTGCATGTTACTAAACCGTACTGAGCCTCAATTTATATACAAAATCAACCTTGTAGGGTTTATGGACTACAGAGATATGTCAAATGTTTAGCATTGGATTTGGTCCATAGTAAGCGTTCAAGAAGAAGAAAAGGCAGCATTGAAGAACATATGTTCTGAGTTAAACAGTGTAGGTTCAAATCTTGGCTCCACTTACTTGCTGTGTGACCTTGTGCAAGTTCCTTAACTTTGCTGTGTCTTGGTCTCATGTGTAAATAGGGTAATAACGGTACCTAACTCCTGGGAGTGAGAGGACAGCAACATGAGTGAATACATGAAAAGCTTTTAGAACAATGCCTGACACACAGTAACTGCTATTATCTCCAAAATATAACCAAGTAACAAAAAAGGAACACATCTGACTAACCCTCAGAAAGCCAAGTTAATATTCCGGCTTTGGGCTGTGTGACCTGTACAAGGTACTTAACTTCTCAGGCTTAGTGTCTCTGTCTGCAAATTGATACTTAACTTGTACAGCTGTTATGAGGATAAAATGAGAAAATACACACCAAGTGCCTAAAATACAGTAAATGCTAAGAAATGGTGGCTATTATTAGTAATAAGGATAAAGAATTTTGTAATTTTCCCCTTTAAATCCTAGGCTTGGTCATATTGAATGACTTGTAGTTCCCTAAATGTGATCTTGTTTTCATATCTGTACCTCTGCTTGCTCTGCTACTCCCCTCTATTCTTCACTTGACTCTCTCCAACTGGTGCTTCAGAGGCAGGTGTTTCCTTCTCTGGAAAACCTTCCCTTGAGTCTAGGGTAGGTGTTTTCTGCTTTCTTCTACTTTTGTATTTATTATATACTAATTTTATATTGATCTATTTTCCTCCACTATTAGCCACTTGCTACCTGTGTGATTTTGGGATAAGCAACTTAACTTCTCTGAGCCTCAGTTTCTTCATCTATGAAATAGAGATGTAAAAATTAAATGAGATGAACTTAGCACTTAGGACAATGTCGAATACTTTCCCCCATGCCAAGCACATAATGAGCAGTCGAAAAGAGTTTATTCATTAAATGCAAAATAAAATAATTTGCAAATTTTATTTAATCTTTAAAAAGTCACAGGTGCAAAATCAGAATCAGTGTGTAGGCCATACATAGGAGGGAGGAGAATCCTCTGAACTCGGACGTTAAATGAATAAAATCAACATCATGAATGAGATTTAAACAAAAGTCACCTTAAAGAGAAAGAACGTTTCTCAGGCCAGGAAAGAGCTGGCTGTAGACTATTTAGTGGTATTAGCAGTAGGGAAATGGTTGGTATGGAAACAGGGAAAAAGGAGACTCAGGGACACAAGAGATGGCAGAAGAGAGATGATCAATCTGGGGACAAGAGAATTCTAGTCACTTGAGAACCATTTTGTTACAGAGCAGGGATGGTTTATCAATGCCATCATGGCCTAAAAGAAACCTCTCTCTCTAGATTCTGAACTGTCACACTCTGATAACACGTTCACGCACAAACCTCTGCATTGGTGATTGGCGTGCAGAGTGCTTTGGTGTTTAGAGAGCAGGGCACTGGAAAACAGGTGGGAACACTTTTTTGTCAATGAAAAAGAAAAAGTGCATCCTTTGTTAATCAACGAGATGGTATCCTGGTTTATACATAGCGTCCCTTTTGTTCTGACTCTGGTTATTAGGAGTAAGTTTCCTTCTCTCCAATCAACTCAATATTGACTTGACGGCTCTGAAAAATCAAAAGCAAAACCTTGAAGAATTATGACCCACCAGGAAATAAAATGACAGTTTGGGGACCTATCTGGTTTAGCATATTATCACTCCTCCTCCCCCAAAACCACAACAGAGTAAAATGCATAGATAAACAGCAAAAAAGCATCAAAGAATGCTAGAAACATTTTTAAAAGGTTTATTTACTATTTTTCAAAGGAATAATAGCAACAAAAAATCAAGAGACCTTATTAAAAATATTTTTTCTTAGTATAGAGAACATAATTTTAAGATTCCATATTACTTGTTTTTCAAAGAATATTTATATCCAAGACTTTGAAGGTGGAATCAGAAGGGGGAAAGGGACCAAAAAAGAAAAAGAAAAGTGATGAAGAGTATTCAGAAACAATTTGGTTCCATTTCAGTTGAAGCAGATTTTAAAACAGGACAGTAAGTCCATGGAAATTTTCTGGGAGGAGAACAAAATTTCCATCTTCTTGCAAAGATTAAGGCAGTCAAAGGAATCTGAAAAACATCTGGTTCAATTAAGACCAAGCTTGCCTGCTTTCCTGGTTTCAGATTGTATTTCAATGTAGAAACACAACAAATGTTGGTGATTAAAATTACATTAGACACTCCACGATAATTCTGGGGGGCAGGAAGTCTCTGTTTTGTAAATTACAGATGGAGTCTTAGGAGAAGTTTTGGTCAAAAAATGGTCTAGACTCTAGAAGAAATCAGTCAGCACCTTCCACTGCTGTGGTGGAAATAGGTTTCACATAGTATGGACCTTCATTCAGGTAAGTTCTGAGCCTCAAATAATTTGGGTTCCCAAAGATTTCTGCAATTGTCTTGGAATTGGCAAGTGCTTTCACCAGTTCGTATTTGGCATCCTTCGAAGCTTTGTCACGCTCCACCGACCGGTCCACCACATATTCTACAAAGCCTGGACTATTAAACATAAGCTTCTGAGCCCAGGGTTGGTCTGCAATGGCCTGAAATGGAAGGCAGAAAGAACACAATTCCTCTGAGCCTTAAGAAGTTAAGTTTGTTAGTGGGATGAAACAGTCCCTAGAAAGAAATCTGGCAACATGAAGCTTCAAAATGTTACTTTTTGCCTAAGTAAATTCCCTCCTGGGAATCTAATTTAATAACCTAAATATTAAAAAAAAATCTTTGTAGGGCCGGCCCAGTGGCATAGTGGTTAAGTGAGCGCACTCTGCTTCAGCGGCCCAGGGTTCACGGGTTTGGATCCCAGGCATGCACCAATGCACTGCTTGTCAAGCCATGTTGTGGCAGTATCCCATATAAAGTAGAGGAAGATGGGCACAGATGTTAGGCCAGGGCCAGTCTTCCTCAGCAAAAAGAGGAGGATTGGCATGGGATGTTAGCTCGGGGCTAATCTTCCTTACAAAAAAAAAAAAAAAAAAAAAACAACTTTGTAGGGGCTGGCCCCATGGCGTAGTGGTTAAGTTTGGTGCGTTCTGCTTCAGTGGTTCAGGTTCGTGGGTTCAGATCCTGGGTGCAGACCTACACCACTCATCAGCCATGCTGTGGCGGTGACCCACATATAAAGTGGAGGAAGACTGGCAACAGATGTTAGCTCAAGGCTAATCTTCCTCAGCAAAAAAAAAAAAAAAAAAAGGTATATAAAGATGTTCAATACAATGTGAAAGTTACAATATAAATGTCTAATGGTGGGGGGATGGGTAAGTAAATTATGGTATATAGCAATAAAAAATTAAATAAACATTAAGAATGATGTCTATGAAGAACAGGTAAACCTGTTATATGAAAAAGTAGATCTAAATTATGTACATGGTAGAATTGAAACAGTGGAAAAATAAAAACAAAATTTATAAAAGAAAAGACTAAAGAAATTCTCATACATGTGCTCAAGATGATATTTTTGAGAATGTTCACTACAGCACCATTTGTAATAGAAATTATCTAAATCTTCACCAACAGGAGGATGATACACTGTGGCTATACAATGAAATACTAACAACTTTATAATTGCTTCTTTTAGTACAGATAAATCTTAAAAACATAATGTTGAAGAGAAAAAGCAAATTGCAGAATGATATGAACAGCATGATACCATTTGCAAAGTTTAAGAATACATAAAATACTGTAATTTGTTTAAGGGTATATATGTATGTAGTAAAAGTATAAAATCATAGGTGGGCTTTTAAACCCTGAATTCATAACAGTAATTATATCCAGAGAGTGAGGAAGGGGAATGGGATTGGGCAGAGGAAGCAGGGTATGTTTGTATGACTGTATGTTTGAAATATTTCACCAATAAATAAATAAATTAATAAATACTAACACTAATATTAAAAGGAAATACACCAAACAGGTATGACTTTATGCAATTTTAAAAATTTCTACTTCTCAATCTTCCACATTTTAAAATAACGAATTTTTTTTTTAACAGTTTTAAAAACCTCACTACTACATTTTAACGAACAAGGAACAATCAGGTTTAGAGCCTAGTGTCTTCCCCTCAAAATGTGTTCTGCAGACCAGCAGCATCAGCATCACCTGGAAGCTTGTTAGAAATTCAGGATTTCAGGCTCTACCCCAGAACTACTGAATCAGAATCTACATTTTTTTTTTTTTTTATAATTTTATTTATTTATTTTTCCCCCAAAGCCCCAGTAGATAGTTGTATGTCATAGCTGCACATCCTTCTAGTTGCTGTACGTGGGACGCGGCCTCAGCATGGCCGGAGAAGCGGTGCATCGGTGCGAGCCCGAGATCTGAACCCGGGCCGCCAGTAGCGGAGGGCGCACACTTAACCGATAAGCCACGGGGCCGGCCCAGAATCTACATTTTAACAAGATCTTAAAATTTGAGAAACATCAGCTTAGTTAACAATAGTCAAGGATGAAAGATGGACTGAAATAAAAATAGCCATCCCAACCAGTAAATCAAAAATTATCTCTAAAACTGTGGCCAAGTGAAGCATAAGATAGAATAGTGGGAAAAAAATAAAGTAATAATGGGACTACCAATGTAGGAGCTAAAATGACCACCACAGTGACTAACTGACAAGGGTGAAGCAATCTAAAAACAACATTCTTGAAGCTGATGGGAACACTGTATCCTTCAAAACCTAGGTCATGTATCACATCCTGCAGGAAGCATCCCCTCTCTTGTCGCCTCCACTCTCCTTGTTCCCTCCCTCTCTAGGCCAAGCATGCTGCCTGAGATCCCATTATTAGGATTACTAAAGTGATTACTACATTTCTATCAGCCCAGGCACCAGGTAAATGTGGGGGCTGCAAAGATAAATCAGATATGGTTCCTATTCTCAACAAACTCTGTTTAATAGGTCAATAAATTAACATTTTCAACGTAATGTAATAAATAGAACACAGAGGTATAATTCTTACCACAACTGTAATTATACAATTTAACTCTACAATTATATTTATTCCCTGGGTCCCTCATTAGACAGACATGAAAGGAAGGTCTTTGTATGTTTTGTTCACTATTGTATCCCCAGTACCTAGCAAAAAAAAGGAACTCAATCAACATTTGCTGAATGAATGAATAAATGCAAAGTATGAGAGCTGAAACTACTTAACTCAGCCTTGTGGGTTTGCTCAAAGCTTGCTGAAGAGATACCTGAGCTAGTCCTTGAAGAAGGAATAAGAGGTTAACAAGCAAAGTTGGGGAAGAGTGTTGACTGCAGAGGGCATACAGGGTCCAGAGATATGAAGCAATCAGTTTGGTATCACTAGAGCATTAAGTCCCAGAAGGGCGATGGCAGGAAGTAAGGCTCAGGAAGAAGACCAGGGCTGGGTCAATAAGGGCTTGCCAGATGGCAGATAGGGGATCCGGAATTAATTCTGTGATCCCATAGCACCCTGCTCAAACCTCTGCCACAGCACCTAATGCCTTTTACTACTACCGTTTATAATACCTAATACTTTTTACACATCTGTCTCCCCCATTCGTCTATACTAATAGCAGAGGGCAGAAACTGTACTATGCACTTGTGTATCCCGGGGCATGGCAGAGAGACTGGCTCATTGTAAGTACTCATGTGTTGAACTGGCAGAGTCCCAGAAGGACCTGGGGAAAAGAAGAGGATGCCTACCGTGAACACTTTTAAGGCAGCACAGCGTAGTTCAGGGAAGGGTTGAATACTGATGCCACGCAAGAGCTCTAGTGGGTCCCGAGATAAAGAAGAAAACCAGGATTCTGTCATCCTCAGGAGGTCATCAGTCTGCTGCTCAGGCTGCAGGACAGAAAAGGAAAATCTCAAGACATTTGGAAGTCAGGAAACCTGGGTTCTGATGGCACTCTGTCATTAACTCGCTGCGTGATCTCTACCAAGTCTGGAGCACTATTCCTCAAATCCAGCCTAACTTGCCCATTTTTTTTTTTTCTGGTGAGCAAGATTGGCCCTGAGCTAACATCTGTCAATGCTCCTCTTTTTTGCTGAGGAAGACTGGTCCTGAGCTAACACCCGTGCCCATCTTCCTCCACTTTATATGGGACGTCTCCACAGCATGGCTTGACAAGCGGTGTGTCGGTGCGCGCCCGGGATCTGAACCGGCGAACCCCAGGCCGCCACAGCGGAGCGCACGCACTTAACCACTTCTGCCACCGGGCTGGACCCCCAGTTTTTTTTTGATGGAGTTGATTAAGCAATCTCTAGGATCATCTCCAGTTCTAATACTCTGATTCCACTTTAACTTAAAAAAATGTCACTAGTTATTTAACAAGGGTGATCGTCTTTCACTAAGAGTAAGAAAAATGGCATTTATTTGGTCAATATTTATATTACGTTAACCATTATTCTGTTGATTCATACAGATTTATTCTCCCAAACATATCCCACCGTCCTTCACTATTTCCCAGTTAACTTACTGGTAAATAAAGAAGTGATGAAATTGCATCCAAACACCTAATTTTGAGCTCTGTTGAGGCATTTTTTGCTTGATATCCTATTTTCATGAGCAAGCGTTCAAAGCGAGTTCCTTTGAAGGATAATGAGATATTTTTTATTGTGGTAAAATACACAACATAAAACTTATCATTTTAACGATTTTTAAGCATACAGTTCAGTGGTATTAAGTACATTCATATTGTTGTGCAACCATCACCATCATCCATCTCTAGAACTTTTTCATCCTCTCAAACTAAACAATAACTCTCCATTCCCCCTGTCTCCATCCCCTGGTAACCACTATTCTACTTTCTGTCTCCGTGTATTTGAATACTCTAGGTACCTCAGATAGGTGGAATCATACAATATTTGTCCTTTTGTGTCTGGCGTATTTAACTTAACATAATGTCTTCAAGGTTCCTCCATGTTGTGCCATGTATGAGAATTTCATTCCTTTTTAATGCGGGATAATATTCCATTGTATGTATATGCCACATTTTGCTTATCCATTCATCCATCCAATGAACACTTGGGTTGTTTCTACCCTTTTTGGCTATTGTGAATAATGCTGTTAATGAACACAGGTATAGAATTATCTGTTTGAGTCTCTGCTTTCAATTCTTTTGGGTATGTACTTAGAAGTGGAATTGCTGGATCATATGGTAATTCTATGTTTAATTTTCTGAGGAACCATCATACTGTTTTCCATAGCAGCTGCACCATTTTACACTCCCATCAGATATGCACAAGGGTCTCAATTTCTCACATCCTTGTCAACACTTGTTATTTTCTGTTTTTTAAAAAAATAATAGCCATCCTAAGTGAACAATGAGATTTTTTAAAGTATGTTTTCATATACTATGACCCCTATCAACCTAAGCCAACATAAAAATAAACAGGTAGCCAGAGACCAAGTGACAGGCCTAAAACACACATTCATGTGCGATACAGTATATATAAGTCAAAGTATAGAGGATTTGGAATCAAAGGACCTGGATTTGAGTAGCAGCTGCCTCATAGTCTGCATGATCTTAGAAAACTTTCTTAACTTCTCTGAGTTTCAGCTACCTTATCTATAAAATGAGAATGACAATAGTATGTTCTTTGCAGGATCGTAGAAGGATATGTCATAGGTAAAAGCACTTAGAAAAGAACGGGTAACGAGGATACTAGCTGTGATACACAACAGCATGCTTATTTTCACCATACACCTCACAGGGTTTTAACAGTGCTGCATATTATTTTTTGTGTAGAATTCATAGTGCTTTCAAGATACTTAGGATGATAAAAGTATCATTCTTAATACAAAATCTTATAACAAATTTTTGTTTCTTTTCCTGTCTTGATATTACAAATAAAAAACAAATGTGTCTTTTCCTTAAATATTCACGACAACTCTGAGTAGTTGTTATACTCTTTTTTTTTTTTTAAAGATTTATTTATTTATTTTCGCCCCAAAGCCCCAGTAGATAGTTGTATGTCATAGTTGCACAGCTTTCTAGTTGCTGTATGTGGGACGCGGCCTCAGCATGGCCGGAGAAGCGGTGCGTCGGTGTGCGCCCGGGATCCGAACCCGGGCCGCCAGCATCAGAGAGCACGCACTTAACCGCTAAGCCACAGGGCCGGCCCTTTATACTCTTTTTATAAATGAGGAAAATGAGGCCTAGAGTAGAGAAATGAGTAAATGAAGTTCAAAAAGCTAAGTCAGTGTTAGAACTAGGACATGAACCCAGGTCTTTCTGACTCCAGCCCACGGTCTTTGTACCATGAACACTATGTAAGGAAGATACAGAGGAGAAAGAGTGCTTGGACCAGACAAGTCAAAACAAAAGTTTCAGTAATAATTATGAAACTTTTAGGGATGAGTCCAAGGTCATGGTAAAAAGACTGCCATGTGTGAAAGTAGTTTTTATGATACAGTTAACATACCAGCAAATGAACTTCAATCTCTGTCAAAAATGAAGATATCCCTAAAGAAAGCCAAAACAAATCATACCAACCTGTTTTCTGTAAAACCTGTTTTCCTTCAACACTGGATCCCAGGATTCCAATTGTGTCCACTGCTACACCAATCATGGTGGGGTCCTGACTTTCTGTCATTTCAAAGACTTTCTCCACAAAGACAGGATAACGCTCACAGATCTGTTGAGGACTATCCATAATAGCCAGGTTTCCGAAAAACTTCACAAATCCTAAAGATGTTTACAAAAATATATTTTAATAGAGGAGGAAAATTGTGGGCCAGAAAGAGGAAAACAGTTATGGTACTGTGTTGCCCAGAAATCAGACAGACCTCATAAGGAGATACTGAAGGACCTGTGATGAGTGGTCCTGAGAGAACAGAAACCCCAGGGTGTTAACGGAGCTGGGTCCAAACGCTGAAGCACTGTCATATGCAAGGGGGAGAACAGAGAACAAGGACTTGTGGACATCAATTACAGGAAGGCAACTTTGGAGTCATTATTAGGAGGAAATTTTTAAACAGAGATGTTTATCAATGAGATAGGCGAGGCTACCTAAGGAAGGAATAAATCTCCAATCTCCAGAAGTGCTCAAGAAAAACGAATCAACCATGTCCTAGAACAGAATGGCTGGAGTAGATCTTATAGTAGATAAAAATTCCAACTCAGAAGTTTGATGAACCAGTGAAATGTACTGTAAATGTCATTACTAGTATTTTTTTTTTTTTTTTTTTTGCTGGGAAAGATTCGCCCTGAGCTAACATCTGTTGCCAATCTTCCTCTCTCTTTGTTTTTTTTTCTCCCCAAATCCCCAGTACATAGATGTATGTTCTAGTTGTAGGTCGTTCTAGTTCTTCTGTGAGTTGCCACCACAGCATGGCTACTGACAGACGAGTGGTATGGTTCCGCACCCAGGACCCGAACCTGGGCCGCCGAAGTGGAGCGTGCTGAACTTTAACCACTAGGCCGTCAGGGCTGGCTCATGAGTATTTTTATTTGTTTCTTTTGGCTGAAGTTCAAAGGAAACTATCCTAATGCTCTAAACAGCAATACTTCCAGAAAATCACAATCAACAATTCATGGCTCCCAGGGCAACAGATTCCATCTCATTAAGGGGCTATAGGTATTATCTCAGGGAATCAGCTCTAAAGAAAACAATCCCTGGCCACTCCTGTCAGAGATAACTCAGAAACAAAGCACGTACCATCATTTCCACAGGCATCGATATTTCTTACCTGGCAAATAGAAGCTAGAGAAAGGGTCTGAATCTGCCCCAACAATTATGTTTGAAATCTGATCAATCACTCCTTCTTGAGCAAGGTACTGTCGTCCGTGATGAGTACTTGCTAGCGATGTCACTGTTTCTATACAGGTGGCTCTGAAATGCCAAGATTTTGCCTGTGATTAGCATACTTTATAAACTGCTTTCATACAGGTTATCTTATTTAATTCTTCCCACCAAATCTGAAAGGTCAATAATCCTGGCTCCACTTTTCAGATGAGGACACAAGGATGAGAAAATTGCAGTGACTTGTCCAGAATCACATTGTTATTAATAGGCAGAGTTTAGACTTAAATCTCACCTTCTGACTTGAGGCTCACTATTGCTTCTACTATAACATAGTTACTTCCTAAGAGATCTAAGCCTTTGTTTTATTTTGAAATGCCACACATATACAGGAGTAAAAAGGACAGTACAGTAAGCCCCCATGTACCCATAATCCTGATTGTATAGTTATCAAGATTTTGCTTTACTTATTTCATCTCTTTTTCTTTCCATTTTTTGCTGAATTGTTTTAAAGCAAATTCTAGTCACCTTGCCGTTTACCCCCGCATACTTCAGTATGCATCTCTAAAAAACACGAATATTTTCTCACACAATTATAATGCCTTTGCCACCTATTAAAAAATTAATAATAATTCTTTGGTATCATCTAATATCTAACCATGATCAAATTCCCCCAATTAACTAAAAAAAATATTTTTATAGTTGATTCTAAGGTATTTTAACTGACTATTTGCAGGTTTGTTTTTTTTTCTGTCACAAACTCTGATACAAAACTAAAAAAAATCAACACAATTAATTTCCTTATTAGGAATGCTTTGAAACAGTGTAACTGGTGACTGATTTATGCATCTGAGTTTAACAAATTCAGTCACATTTAAAGAACATAGAACAATCAGAAAATCATTTAAGATAAGGAAAACAAAATCTGTGTACAGAAAGATGATAACAATAATGCTATCATAACAGCAACATACTTGAAGCAAACCAAGTATCCAACAGTGAGGACGTATTAGTAAATTGTGGAACATCAACAAGGAAACATGTGGCAGATATTAAAGAGGACTTAGGGAGTAGGGGGCTGGGAGTGAGGAGACTGGAATTAACATTTCTTTGAGGACCTATGCCAGCCAGTGTATTGGTCTCTATGGTCAATCACTTAATCCTCATATTATCTTCTTTACAGAGTTGTCATTGTTCCCTTTAGGAGATGAGGAAAGTTAGATGCAGAAAGGTTACAATAATTTTTCCAAGGTCAAACAAATAATAAGTAGTAGAGACACAGGCAAGCCCATGTCTTCCTCATTTTCAAAAGTCACGTTTTTACTATCGTGCCATAGTGCTATTATTTAACAACAAACCAACACCAAACAATGCGTATATTAACATGTTAACTAATACAAAATGGCAGTTACCACGTGACTATAACTTTTTAAGAGCACACATACCTAAGGATACGTAATACAGTTATTCAAAAGTACCTGAGTGGTTATGCGGGGCTTTGGTAAATTCTAGTATGTTGTCATGATGTAACATACATCGGCCATGAGATTGCAACCTGGGCACAGGCTCTACTAGGGAAGATCACACTGAGTCCAAAGGTTGTTTCCCGGCCCTCCAAAAGAGGACTTTTTGTTTTAAGAACTCTCTCAGCAAACATACCTGACCAGCACATCCTCACCAGTCAGCTCTCTGAGGAGCTGGGTTACCAACCCACTGGTGGTACAGTAGTTTAAAGATTCTGGTGACACAGAAGAAATTTCCACAATTAGCTGAAAGAAAAGAACAGAAAAAGCAGAAAGGTCGAAACAGCCCCAAACTTGTCCGATCTCATTTTAGTTAAATGCAGGATTAGGCACTTTATATAACTGAATTTTTAAACATCCATTATTTATCTCCACAAGTAAGAAAACTTCATTGAACACATAAGAAATTACTTTGACACAGAAATACTCCATTATATCTCGGTGTATCTGCACTTAAAAAAAAAACACAAATCCTCAATTAGAGTACAAAAGGCTGAATCAGCAATAACAAAAAGATTGTAAAAATCATTCATTCATGCACGCATTCTATCACTCACTCACTCACTCATTCACAAGTATGCCCTAAGGGTTTACTGAAATATATAGGACACGGAAGGATTTTAAGCACAAGAATGACAGAATCAGATTTGGATTTTTAAAAGATTATTCTGACTGCATGTGAAGATAGACTAGTGGTGATAAAAATGGATGAGAGGATACCAGTTTGGATGCAAATACAATAACAGCCTGAGTGAGAGATACTGGCAACTTAGACTAGCATGGTAGTGGCTATACCAAGGAAGAGAAATGCATAGGTTTAAGTAAAACCAACATGATGTGATGACTGTGGTAGGGAGAACAAGGCCTTACAGAGAATGAGCTCAAGTCTAGTATTCAACAATGTAGACTGTGGGATAGGGCCAGTTTGTTGCTGCTGTTTATTAGGGGCATGAGGTGGGTAGAGGAGATCAGGGGCTAGGTTTGAAACGAGTGTGAGGGGCCTACAATATGTCCAAGGGGGAGAGAGTGAATAAGCAGTTGGACACGAGGGTCTGAGTTCAGAAGAGAGGTCTGGGTTGAAGGTTTACATTTGAGACTAATCACCATTTTAGGTGGGAACTGAAATCAGAGGATGAATAAAACTGCCTAGGAATGAACATAGAGTACAGTGAGAACGGGGCTTGCAACTTCACCTTCACAAACTCTAACAATTAAAAGTTCAATAGAGGGGGGGTCGGCCCGGTGGTGCAAGCGGTTAAGTGTGCACGCTCTGCTGCGGCGGCCCTGGGTTCGCCGGTTCGGATCCCGGGCGTGCACCGACACACCACTTGTTAAGCCATGCTGTGGCGGCGTCCCATATAAAGTAGAGGAAGATGGGCACGGGTGTTAGCCCAGGGCCAGTCTTCCTCAGCAAAAAAAAAAAAAAAAAAAAAAAAGGACGATTGGCATCGGATGTTAGCTGAGGGCTGGTCTTCCTCACCAAAAAAAAAAAAAAAGTTCAATAGAGGATAATGGGCCAAGAGACTGAGAAGAAACAGCTAGAGAGGCAGAAAGAGAACCAGGATAGTGTGGTATCAAGACATGCAAAGAAAGGAAGTGTTTTGAAGAGAGTTACTGGACAGGGTTCCATTCTGAATATGTAGCCTATTAATTGTGTGGCCTTGGGACAATTACTCCATCAACAGTGAGGTTAACAATAGTAATGTATAGGGTTTACTGTGAGAACTGAAGACAATATATGTGAGGATTTAGCTCAGTGCTCAGCATAAAGCCGGTACAAATGAAAGCCATTTCTTCTTCTTCTTCTTACTACTACTACAACTAATTTTTTCAAAGTCCAGCTTCAATGGTATCTCCTTTATTATAGTACTTATAGTGCAATGTAAATACTTTTTATCTGACCGTCTCACCCTAGGCTGGGAGTTCATCCCTATAGTCCCAGCACCTAGTAGGGCCTAACACAGACTATATACTCAATAAATGCATGTTAAATGAGCCATCTTCCTTCCAATGTAAGCCTGACTGCACTCTGAATTGTAGGCATCAAAAAGTGTGCTTTTAGTCTTACCTCATACACTCTGTATCGAACAATGTCATTTGTTTTCATTACATTTTTCAAATCATCCAGCAGATTGCTTTCAAATAAAACCTCCAGTCCAGCCTGGGTCAGTGATATTCTTGACAGGGATTTAATGGCCTTATAAGGAAAGAAAATATCTCTAAGTCATAAAAATATAGAATATTAATATCTACTTCATAAGATTGATATGAAAATTAGTGTATGGAACGCACCTTGCCCAATAAGCATTTACATTTTAGCAATTATTATTTATGATTGGAAAAGATACATATTATTCCCAACAGAAAACAAATTATGTAAGTTTTGCTTCCTATCAAGCAACACATTGTAAGCCCTATGATGGATAATTTAGGTATGTGTATTCTAGAAAATAGAAGGGACTAGTATTTATTTGATACCATATATTTGCTGTTGCAAATTCAATGACACAGATCATCCATTTAAACCTTCACCTCTCAATCCAGAAGGCCTTCCTTCACCTTTTAGGACACTAATGTCTCTGCACGTTTAAGCTGATGGTTCTAGCTGACTTACCGCTTTAGCTACAGATAGATTCTCTCCAGCGATACAATAAACGACTTGTTTTAGTAATTCACCATTATTTAGAATCTCAGTAACAGCATCAGAATTTTCAACAATTCTTCCAACCTGCAAGAAAAAAACAATCAGAAATACTCTTCCAAGGTAGGGCGACATGTGAACACACAATGGTCAAATTTCCTTAGTATGCAGTTATTTTAGGAATTACAGATTACAGCTTTAAGACAAATCAATAAAAATTCCAAGTGACCCAAATTCATTAAAGCCAAACACATATACGGTATAGTCACATCTTTGAAAGGAAAGGAAAAAAAAATAATAAAAGGTGGGTAAAGAGTTGAGACACCTTAGGGAGTAAAAACAATACAAATCCTAGTTCTATCAATTTTTAGCTGCATTGACCTGAGGCAAATTAAATAACTTCTTTGAACCTAATTTCTTGTCTATAAAATGGGAATACAATACTTAATTGCAGGATAGTAATGAAGATTCAATAAGACTAAATAGGTAAAGCACCTACTACAGTGTCGGGCACATAAATGGTCAATGAATAAATCGATGCTTTCCCCTTTTTGTTGAATAAACCCTTTAGGGGAGAAAAGGAAAAACAGTAGTTGAATACCTACTGGATAACTAACTGCTCAGCTTCTAATGTTTCAACAAGATTAATCCTCAGTAGTAGCTCTTCACCCAAATAGTAGTAGGATGTTTTAGTTACCAGGGTGATAAGAGTTACTGTCTTAATTTGTTGGTTTAGTGACCTTTACAATAGTACTTTGTTCATGCCACTATAATAAGACTTAACATGGCAATCTTTTTCTCTAGACTTGGGGCTCCTTGAAGGAAAGAAATAGGTTTTATTTATCTTGGTGGCTCTAACAGCATATGGTACAACACCTGCCATGTAAAAGGAACTCAGTCAGTATTTGATGAATGAATGATTCAGATGGTAGTGAGCGGAACTTCTTACTTTAGCTTGTATCCCCTGGTCATAGTTAGCTATGCACACTAGAATAGACTATACGCTCCCTAGGACAGAGAGAGGGCGTATTTTCTTCATCTCGCTGTCTTTGGCACCCAGCATAGAGGCTGGCCCAGAGCAAGTGGTCATTAAATGTCAGTTCCTTTATTACGTGCTGGTAAAATTTCATACCTGGGACAGAGTGAGGATTTTTACAGAATCATTGGGGTGAGTCAGTCCCCTCTGCAGGTCAACCTTGAGGTTCCGGGCCACGTGAACTGGCTCCATAGCTTGAAGCAATCTCTCCAGAATGGACACACACAAAGTAGTCTGTTCCCTAAAGGAGGCACCATAGATCTTATTAGTTCATGTCCTGCCAGGCAGAAAGTAAGAACCTAATAATATCTGTCGCCTGGCTCAATGAGGATCTCCTCCACACAGACTTCCCTTGGAAACACCAGCTCCTACTAATTTATTAAACATTTACTAAGCACCTATTATGTGCCATGCCTGTGCTGAGGCTACAAAGAAGGATAAGATATATTCTTTAGCCTCAAGGAGCTCAGCCTAATGGAAGACACAGAAAAACAGAAAGGCAACTATAATCCAGGTAGATAAATGCTATAGGTTATGGCTGGAAGCTTTGGGAGCTCAAAAAAGAACACAGGGTATAGAGAAGGTCTCTCAGAGGGGTAACAGCTGAGCTAAATTTTAAGAAAAAGTGCAAGTTATCTGGGAGAAGCAAGTATCTGTTCAGGTAGAGGTAGTAGCACACGAAAAGGCAAAGAGGACTGAGACAGTGTTTTGCAATCAAGGAACCACAAGTAGCTTGGTATGACTGCGGTCAGAAGGGGAGAGAAGTGGGGAGAAGGTAAAAGGCGGGAGATGAAGGGCAAGAAATAAAACAGGAAAGATGCACAGAAGCCACATTCTGATAGGTCTTTTATGTTCTGCAATGGAATTTAGCCTTTTTCCAGAAGGCAATGGCAAGCCATGAAGTGGTTTTAAAGTAGAGAAGTAACACGATGAGACATGACTCATAGAAATAACTCTGTATCAGTGTTAGAGAAAGAATTTTCGGTTAGAAGGCAGTTGATGATGATAAGCGATGAAGGAGTGAAACAGGGGAGTCGCAGTGGGAATGGAGAAGAGGGAAAAGATTTGAAGAGCTGTTAAAGAGGGATATAATCAGAACTTGATGACTACCAGATGTAGACACAGAAAGTATTTCAAGAATCTCTTCCTTGTCTCTTAATAGCCAGTACAAGTAAATGGGCACTCACATACTGGTAATAAGAGTATACAATTAAATTGGCACAACATTTCTAAAAGGTGATTAAGCAATACACAACAAAAGCCTTAAAATGAACATATCCTTTTAACTTAGGGATTGCACTTGGCATAACTGAGCCTAAGGGAGTAATCAAGAATGTTTTTATACCCAAGATAATTGAGAACATACACCCACACAAAAATTTGTACACAAATGTTCACAGCAGTGGAAACAACCCAAATGTCTATCAATTAATAAATGTACAAATACGGCATATCCATACAATGGAATATTATTCAACCATAAGAAGAAATGAAGTACTGATTCATGCTACAACATGGATGAACCTTGAAAATATGTTAAGTGCAAGAAGCCAGATATGAAAGGCTTCCTTTTGATGATGATTCCATTTGTATGAAATATCCAGAACAGACAAATCCATAGAGACAGAAAGCAAATTCCTGACTGCCAGGGGCTGGGGCAGAGGATAAGAGGGAGAATGGGGAGGGACTGTTAATAGGCGTGTGTTTCTTTTCCTTTTTTTAAAAAACTGCAATTGTACATATCATAAAATTTACCATTTTAACCATTTTTAAGCATATAGCTCAGTGGCATTAAGTATATTCACACAGTTGTGCAACCATTGCCACCATCCATCTCCAGAACTTTTTCATTTTCCCAAACAGAAACACTGTATCCACTAAACACTAATTCCCCATTCTCCCCTTCCTTTAGCCCCTAGCCTCTCCTTTCTATCTCTATGAATCTGACTACTCTATGTACCTCATATAAGTGGAATCATACAATATTTGTCCTTCTGTGTCTAGCTTATTTCACTTAGCATGTCTTCAAAGTTCATCCATGTTGTAGCATGTGTCAGAATTCCCTTCCTTTTTAAGGCTGAATAATATTCCATTGCATGTATATACCACATTTTGTTTATCTATTCATCCACTCATGGACACCTGGGTTGTTTTGGTGTTTTTTGTTCGTATGTTTTAGCCATTTTAATAGGTATGTAGTAGAATCTCAATGTAATTTTAATTTGTATTTCCCTAATGACTAATGATGTTGAGTATCTTTTCATGTGCTTATTTGCCAGCCATATATCTTCTTGTTCAAATAATTCGCTGATTTTTAAGTTGGGTTATTTTCTTGTTATTGAGTTTTGAGAGTTCTTTATCTATTCCGAATACAAGTCCTTTATCAAATATGTCCTTTACAAAGATTTTTCTCCATTTGTGACTTGCCTTTTCATTCTCTTAACTGCGACCTTTGAAGAGGAGAATGTTTAATTTTGATGAAGTCCAATTTATTGATTTGTTCTTCTATGGATCATGCTTTTGGTGTCACATCAAAGAAATCTTTGTTTAACCCAAGGCACAAAAATTTTTTTCTAAGTTTTCTTTGAGAAGTTTTATAGTTTTAGGTTTTATATTTAGGTTTATAATCCACTCTCATACACTACTGGTAGGAATGTATAATGGTTCAATCACTTTGGAAAACAGTTTGGCAGTTTCTTAAAAGTTAAACGTACACCTACCATGTGACCCAGCCATTTTACTCCTAGGTATTCACTCAAAGAGAGAAGAAAAAATATGTCTATGTAAAGACTTGTACACAAATGTTCACAGCAGTGAGCATTTATTTGTAATATACACAAATTGGAGACAACTCAAATGTCCATCAACAGGTGAATTAATAAACAAATCGTGGTACATCCATATAATAGACTATTACTCAGCAATAAAAAGGAATAAAGTATTTGTTCATACCACATGGATAAATCTTAAAATAATTATGCTGAGTGAAAGAAACCAAACAAAAGAGTACATACTATATGACTATTTATATAAAACTCTAAAAAAAAAAAGGCAAACATCTATAGTGATAGAAAGCAGATCAGTGGTTGCCTGGCTGAGGCAGGGAGGGATTACTGAGGGGCACGAGGAAACTTCTGGGGGTGAGAGATATCTTTGCTATCTTGATTGTGGTAATGGTTTCACGGGTATATACATGTCAAAACTTGTCAAACTGTACGTTTTATTATGTACATTTTATTTTATGTAAATTATATCTCAATAAAGCTGTTTTTAAAAAAAGCAATAGTAGGCTAAACCACATAGTACACACATTTCAGGTCTCATGTGGCCCTTAGGAACCAGGAAGCCAAAGAGTTAATAACTTATAATCAGTCTTGTTTGACCTCCATGTTGCAAAGCAGTAACCTTAGGACTTACTTTCTCTCACAAAAACTCCTATCAAGATTCTAGATTTAGGGGCTGTCTCCATGGTGTAGCGGTTAATTGCGTGTGCTCTGCTGCTGGCGGCCTGGATTCGGATCCTGGGTGTGCACCGACACACCGCTTGTCAGGCCATGCTGTGGTGGTGTCCCATAAAAAGTGGAGGAAGATGGGCACAGATGATAACACAGGGCAAGTCTTCCTCAGCAAAAAGAGGAGGATTGGCATGGATGTTAGCTCAGGGCTGATCTTCCTCACAAAAAAAAAAAAAAAAAAGATTCTAGATTTACATCTATCAGATCAGATCTTGAACTAATATATAGCAACCTATGTGGTTTAACCAGGATAATAGCAATACATCTGGAGAATGCCAATCTACCATCCAGAGAATTATTATTTCCACAAATTGCAATTGCTATCTACTACGTACCCAGTTCTGAATTACTCTGCCTTTAAATTTTCATTAAGACTGTTTGCTAGAGCACTGCTCCTTCAGTCAGCAAACCATCCCCCCCATAGAACTTATTCTTAAAACTCCTCTTCATTTCAGTTCCTATTGCATCTCTGGTGTTAACTTATAGTATGAACCTTGAAAGTCTCTTCACCTATAATATAAAGTGGTTGGACTAGGCCTCTCTAAAATTTATGAGTCTAACCTTTTATTTGGCATATATTGCATTATGTGCTGCGCCCTAGGAGAGATGCAGAGATGAACAAAATATGGCCCCTGCCTTCAAAGAATTTAGAAACTAGAAACAAACACATACAGAACTATAACATAAAGCAATAGTGTCAACTATCAACAGAAGTAATGATAACGTCCTTCAGGAGATCTGAGGACCAGTCACTTGCAACTGGAGTGACCAAGAAAGACTTTTTGCAGTGGATGGCACTTCACCTGGGCCTTAAAGGATCTGGAGAGAGGGGAGGGCATTTCAGTTAGAAGGAATGGCATGAACAAAGTTAGGAAAGTGCCAAGTCATGATCAAGGGAAAGTTAGTGGTGCCACATGGTAGCTGGAGCAGATGAAATATGTTTACAGGAGTGGAGGAAAAAGATGAGGCTGGAAAATAGGATGGAAATATACTGTAAGGGTCCAAACACCAGACTAAGAAGTCATGATTTTACACTGTAGGCAATGGGAAACCATGGAAAAGACGTGAGCCAAATGACCTGAGAAGTTCACTGTGGTTGTAGTGTGGCAAGGACACACTAAAAAAGGAAGCTTTGAGGTAATGAGAAGTCAGACTAATGTAATAGACCTAGCAAGAGGGAGAAAATGAGGGCCTGAATTAAAATGGGCAAACAAAGACACATTTCAGAAACAGACCTCAATAATGTTAACTAACGGATTTAATGAAGGGAGAACAAATAGGAAAAAGGGAGGAATCTTAGGTCAGGGCCAAGAAAGTCTTCCGAAATCATCCAGTGTTGATTCAGTGACTCATTCCTTTCAAGCAGAAAGGTCACTTTTAAATTTCTGGATCACAAACATTTTAAACCTTTTAAAATTATTGGAGGATCAAATACAAAGTGTTTTTTAATCAAATACAACAAATGAGCATAAAATGAAAAGCAAAAGTTGCCATCCTACCATTCTAAGTCCCACTTCCATATTAATAGTTTCTGCTGTACCTTTCAGATATTCCCAATGTTATACCAGCCCTGTGTGTTTGTGCGGGAAAATTGTAATCCTTTGTAAAAATGACACATAATGGGGCTCATAAACTCCTACAATTTTCTTTTTCCATTCAACAACATATATTAGAGATCTTTCCATGTCCACATGTATAGATCTACCTCAATTTTTCTAGCAGCTGCATAGTGTTACATAGTAATGTGTCATAATTTATTTAGAATCCTCTTTTAATGGATATTTAGGTTGTTTCTAGGTTTTTGCTGTAACCTTCTGCTACGAATATTCCCGTATATACAGTACACTTTGTGTCGGAGTATACTTGCATGTTAAGGTTCTATAACAGGAATTACTGGATCAAAAGGCATGTGAATTAAAAATGCTGACGGATCTTGCCAAATTGCCAGGATAGCACCCCTTCTTAAGAGGAGGGAAAAAGCCAAGGACCTGTACACAGGATTGTGGAGTCCTCCCTGCAGATGGGCAACCTTGCTTTCCTCCCCCAAATCCTATTTCAAGGATGAAGGCGGAGAGGCCAGGGGCACACCTGAGAACCTGGACTTGACCCCCGTCTCTTGACTCTCAGCCCAGGGTCCTCCCCCTCTACATTTCAGCTATATTCTACCTTCACTGCGACTGGAAAAGCCTTCCCCTTCACCCCACCCACCCTGGTTTCCATACTTGGGGCTGTCACTCTCCCCCATTGAAGCCGCAGCGTCCTCTCACCGATGGTTCTCGTTGAGCAGGGAGAAAAGCGGGCCAAGGCGCAGTTCCGCCGCTTGCTCGCGGAGCTCGCTAAGTGGCACTGACTGCAGCACCGACTGAAGCGCGCGCAGCTCCTCCATCGGCGCTTCCAGCCGCGACACCTCCCTCAGCAGCGCCAGCACCTGGGCCGCCATCATGCCCCCTCCCGCAGGGGCTCGCGGATCCGCCCGCCCGGCCCTGTTCGCGGCGCGCTTCCCCGAGCCTCGCGAGATCTGCCGGGCGCAGCCTCCCTCTCCCGAGTTTCGGCTCTGACGGCGAACCGCCGGGCCGCACCAATAGCATGCGGAGCTGGCCGGCCGCGCGCGCTGCGGGCTGTCAAGCCTCGCGAGACCGGGGCTGTTAAGGTCGAGCCGGCCATCGCTGGTGGTTGCGGGGTCGCGCGTCATCTTGGGCGCCGCTCAGTTGGTCAAGCGGGCCGGCTTTCCGGTCGGCATGTGTGTTTCCCACAGGGAGCGAAGGCTCGTCCAATGTCCGGCAAGCGGAGTGGTGCGAATGAGGGCCCACTGGAGGTTAAACGGCCTCGCGGGCGTCCTTCTGGCTCTCAAACCAGGCTCTGGGCCGCGGCGAGAGCCGCAGCGGTGGAGGCCACCCCGGGCGGAGCGGCGGCGATGGGCATCCTGCTCTCGGGCAAGACACGTATCTAGAGGAGGCGGAGGGTCATGCCTTTGGAAGACAAGATGAAAATTCCCCAGAAGCTGGAAGGAGGCGTGAGTAACACCGACGGGGGGCGCCTTTTTTGGCGTCAGTGAGTCCACTGTGCGCACCATTAAGAAAAACGAGAGGGCCATCAGGGCCAGCATGGGGAGGTTCCCCCATCTGCTCCAGGGTGCTGTGCATTCCCCGTGATGTAAACATAGAGAGGATGGAGACTGAGTTAACCTGGGTCGAGGACCAGACCGTAGCGGGGCGGCCTCTGACGCTGAAGGCCACCTGCAACCAGGCCAAACGCGTTTACGAGCAACTGATGGAAGTCATTGGGAAGGGCAACCCAGATCAGTTTCATGCGAGCAAAGGATGGTTTGAGAAGTTTAGAGATGGCTGCAGTCTGCGAAATTCGAGGTTGATGGGGGAGGAGGAACCCTTAAATGCCCAGTCGGCACCCAAGTATCCCAAGCAATTCCAACTCTGATCCAGAAACTGATCAGAGCTAGCGGCTGTGTGCCTCAACAGGTCTTCAACGCCGAGGAGATGAGCTTGTTTTGGAAATGCATGCCTTCTCATACTTTTAGGGAGGAAGACAAAAAGCCAGAAAGCTTAGAGGAAGCTAAGGACAGGATTTCCCTCATTTTTTTGTACCAGTGCCACAGGTGACAAAATGATAAAACCATTGCTGCTTTATAAAGACCCTAATCCCACTTGTCTTTTGGAAAAAGATAAAAAACGTCTTCCTGTTTTCTGGCAGTCACACCCCAGAGTGTCATTAACCACCGCCTTCTTTTCGCATTGGTTTCATAATTGGTTTTCTCAATTAATCAAGCCTGGAGTTATTTAACAGAAAAAAATCTTTTTTTATTTTGCTTGAGGAAGATTAGCCCTGAGCTAACATCTGTGCTGATGTTTCTCTATTTTGTTTGTGGGTTGCTGCCACAGCATGGCTGACAAGTGGTGTAAGTCCGTGCCTGAGATCCGAACCTGCAAACTGGAGCTGCCGAAACACAGCACACTGAACTTAATCACTATGCCACAGGGCCAGCACCAGAAAACAATCTTGAATTCAGAGTGTTGCTAATTTTGGACAGAGGTCCCAATCACCCAGACTCATTATTATTTGCTCATCCTAAAATTGATAGTGTGTTCCTCCCCCTGGAAGGTACTGGCTGTCTTCAGCCCTTGGATCAGGGTATAATTGAAGCATTCAGGAGGTATTACACCAAGCATATGGTTGACCACTTTGTTGACTATATTGAAAAAAACTCTTGCTTTACTGCGAAAGAAGCATGGCAACAGTACGACACTGCCGATGCTTTGGTAGTGATAGAAGAGGTGATGAGTGATATAAAACCGGCTACTCTTAAAGCCTGGTTGAAACTTTGGGAGGGTGTTGTGAATGATTATGCATATTTCCTTAGAGCTAATGAAGAAGTTAAAAAAATCATACAGTCTGCAAAACAGATGGGCTTTAAATTCATCAGTATTGATGAAAGGGAAATTAATGAGCTACTCAAGTTTGAAGCTTTAGTGATAACTGAGAAAGAGTATCTATAGATGAGGAAGAAGACAAGTCCCTGGAACCAGAGGTAAAGATGAATCTAAGGAAACTGTCTGCTGTCTTACACCAGGCCTCAGACCTCTTTGATGCTGCAATTGATATGGATCCTTTCCTGGATCAAAGTTTGACCTTTTAAAAAGATTTCAGTAAATTGTCGTATACCCATAAAGAGATTCAAAAGAACGTTCAAAATAAAGCAAATGAGTTTAAGAAAGAGAAGGAAAATACAAACAACAAAGAGGAAGTAGTGTGGGTGAAGGAGATGGTTACAGAATGAGTCTGAAGGAGAGTCTGAGTCTGATTCTGAATCCGATAAGGAGGGGGAGAAGGTAGAGAGAGAGAAAAAGGATAAGAAGCCTTCAGAAGAAGAGCGTGGACCCTCAGGCAGTGGCACTAAGAATCTTACTATATCTGAAGAATCTGCCAAAGCCATAAATGCAGAATTGGACTTTTGGAATCTAACCTTGGAATTGAATCTGGAGAGAGTAAGGTGCCTGAGTTGAAGGAAGAAAAGAATCCAGAGGCAGTTTCTTCCAAATAACAGTTCATCTCTTGCTGAACTTCCCTTGTTGCCCTAACATCACCTTCATCGTGATCATCCTTATAATCATCAGCCACACACCTGTATCATTTAGTCATTCAACAAACATTTATTGAGCATAAACTATATGGGGTGTGCTAAACTTGGGGACATCATCTCAGGAAATCATCTCAGGATCTAAGGTAAATGGTCATTAACAGTGGATTTTCTTATTAATGTAATAGGTATAAAAGATCACAGTCTTGATTTATTTTAATGGACTTCGAATATAAAGATTTTCTTAGGACCACTCAGCCTCATTTTCTCTAACCTTAGTTTTTGCACAGATACTAAATTCTTTAATCAGAAATGGAGATTTTCTACCATTTCCAATGGTAGTTGGCATGAGACTACTTGCTCTTGAAATGCTGACGTGGTCTTACATTTTATAAAGCACTCTACGTTAATCTTCTCTGTTAATCCTCACTTTAGACCTATGAAGAAAGTGTTAGCCCTTCCTTTACCAAAAAACCCTCAAAAGCTCAGAGAGGTTAAGTAACTGGCTTGAGTCTGCACAGCCAACAATGTAAATGATAGGACTACGGCTACAGTTGATTTATTAACTTTGTCAGACACTTTGCTAGGAAATGTATCAGGCCTTTAAGAATTTATAGTCCTAAAGAATGAGACAGACAGGTAAACAGGTAATTAAAATAAACACAGAAGCTGTGAACCAGCAGCCTGCAGGCTAGATTTGGCTAACAGATATGTTTGGTCTACCCAGTTGAACGCAATTTTGGACTGGTTTCTAGCATCCCCCTCCTCCTTTGTTTAAGGTACTATTTACATACAATACACTTCATCAATTTAAGTGTACAGTTTGTTGATTTTTTTAACACTTGTGTACCCACTACCACAATCAAGCTATAGAACTGTTTCTTTAACTTAAAAAAGTTTGCTTGTGCCCTTGTGCACTCAATCCCTTGCCCCACCCCAGAAATGTCATATTTTAAAAATTAAGATATTTCACATTAAAAAACTGGATTAAGAAATTGGAAACTCTGGCAACAGTGGCCTCTGCATTCCCAAAGGGCAACGGTGAATCATTAGCTTGCTGCTTTACTTGTTTGTTTGTAATTCCCCATAGTTGATGTTAAATGTGGCAACAGAAGTGTGTGCAAAGTTTCCTGAGGGGAAACCGAGGACTGTGGGATTAACTCGGGGAAAGGCTGCACCGAGCAGCTGGCCTGGAAAGATGAATGAGTTCATAGGGAGAGCAGTTAGAGCTAGAGTGTTCTAAGCCAAGGAGGATTAGAAGGGAGACCCTGGGAGGAGGGGGTGGTGTGGGGGACCGGAAGGCAGCTGAGTGTGCTTCACTTGTTTTTGTTGGCGGGATGGGCCTCTGTAAAGTGGATGAGTTTTGTGTGTGTATATTAGTGTTTGTGGTTTCTGTGGCTGTGGTTTCTGAAGGTTTTATGTATTTAAGAAACTTAGATCTTTTTATCTGTACATCTCTGGGGAGTTTGTGATTTTTTTGTTGTTGGTAAAGTGGGAAGGAAAAATTAGTATTTTTATTTTTGCAGGGGTTATAGGTCTGCGTATGGTGCTTGGGTTTTGTTTCTAGAGAGTTGCCCAATGAAAATGACTCCCTCTTTCCCCGCCCCCTGCACTGTCTCCTTCCAGCCTTCCTGATTGGGGCGTGGCTGGGCAGTGGGGCCGGCAGCAGGTGGTGAGAGGAGCGGGCAGTTTAGGCCCTCAGTGCCCGCCCACCAGCCGGCAACTCAGCCTGAGGCCGCCCTTCCCTAGGGCTGTGCCGCTCGATTACCAGCGACGCCATGGACAAGCTGGGCTCGAGGTGCCCTCTGCCAGGCCTCCTGCGGCCCTCGGTCCTTATATGCCTCCTGGTGAGTGCCCCATGCTACGACGCTAGGAACCCCTCACCCCTAAACCTCCAGCCTGGGGACTGAGGGAAGAAGGCGCCTTTCTCTTTAGTGCCCCTGGGATTTTGAGCTGGGGGCAGGCAGGTAGCGGGTGGACGGTAAGATCCCTGGAGACAGCCCCGGTGTGTTGGAGATTGTGGCGTGGTTCTGAAGATTACCAGCACCCCTTCACTCCTGCCTTGTGAGGAGGAGTGACTGGACTGTGTTTCACTGCCAGGGAGGTCTGAGAGGTGAAGGGGTGTCTGCTGGTGAGTTCTCATCTAAGGGTCACATGATAGATTCCTTTTCTGTTTCTATTGCAGTTACCGTCTTCTTTTTCTGTATTTTTCTGGGGGCTTTGTTTTCTCATCTCTGAAATATCTTAAAATGTTAAAGTTGGAGATGGCTACAGAGTACCACCAGTGGTGGTGGTGGTGGTAAGGAGAACTGTAGGGCAGGGTCAGAAGCCCAGGGGTCTAGCCTAGCTCTGCTGCTCCCTTTTTGGGTGATTTTCGTTCCCTCTTTGACCCTTACTTTCCCCATCTGTAAAAATTGGTACAAATCAGTAGCCCTTAACCTTTTTGGGATTTTAATTTTTCTTGAATTTTTTTTTTGTTAAAGTTCTGGATTTGTACCCAAGGAAAGTATATAGGTAAAGACAATGTTGCATTCAAGTTCAGAGTATTCGCAGATTTCTTAAAACTAGGTGGATTGCAAGTGTAGAACCACTGGGTGGTTTCTGAGGCCCCTTCTGCCTTAACAGACTGTCAAGTCAGTCATAACCTCCTAAAGGCTATGCAGATACTGCAGGACAAAAAAAGGGAAAAGGCAGAATGAAATATGAAATAACTGAAAGGATACATAAAATATTTTAGAATATAAAATTAGAAAAGTTATACAGTAAAACACATAAATATGAAAATGTTATAAAAGCTTTTCTTTAAAAATTATAGTAAATCTTTTCCTATTATAATGTTTCTATTAGGGAATATTGTGATGTGTGTATTTTCCATCAGTTTTGCATTCACATCATGTCACTTTCTCATATATTGTGGTCCACCCTTGGTTCCAAACTGACCTTTCATATTGCTGCTTTGTTGGTATGGTGCACAAATGTTTCTCAAGCCCATTCGCCCTGTCAGGGGTGGTAAAGTGCCGGCAATACCGAAATAAATGAGGCTGAAGAGCTCCTGTCCGATGGGGAAGACATATGTAAACAACTGTATTTCAATGTGGTCAGTGGTACAACAGAAGGATGTTTAGCAGCAATACTGGCCTCTACCCACTAGATGCCAATGGCATCTCCTCCCCAGTCATGACAATCAGAATTCTCTCTAGATAGTGCCTCATGTCCCCTGGGGGGCAAAATTGCTCTGAGTTGAGAGCCACTGCATTGAGTGAAGGTGAAATGACCCCACTAGATCAATTCCTAGTCAGTGTTCCTTGCAGTTCAAAGAGCTCAGAATGGGAGGCAGAAGTCTTGGATTCGAGTCTTGGTTCTGTCACAGAGTTTCTCTGTGTTCTGTCTCAGTTACCTTATCTGTTAAATTAAGGGTTATCTTAGATAATACCCGAGGGCCCGTTTACCTCTTAGTATTTTGACTATGAGTTCATACAAGAGTTTCGATACATTTTAGGTGAGTTTATATTTAATCCTATTAGCTCTGTTTTCCACTGATAACCTGCTGGCTGAAATGCCCCAGAGGTTCCCTAGAAATGGCTTTTTTGGTTGGAGGACAGCCCAGTGCTCCTTTCATTTAGAGTCTTTGCTGGAAGCCACCTTAGAGTCATGTAGTTGACGACTGACAATGTTCCAGTATGTCTAGTTCTCTGCTAAAAGCACTGTTAACAGTGGGTGACCCAAGAGCCCCACTTACTTCACTACTTGTTGAGACTTACTTAGTCTCAATAACATCTTGCTTGTGTATTAATTCATTAGTCTACAAGTATTTATTGAGAACCTACTGTGTGCCATGGACTGTGCTGGGGATACAGTGATGAGCAAAGCACGGTCCCTTCCTTTATTGAATTAGTGATTACAAATTGTTTTTCCTATCTTGTTTGAACCCATGGCAACTCTGAGGTAGGCAGCACAAGTGACATCATCTCCAATTTCTAGATAACGTTTGTAGAAGCGAGAGGAAGTGACTTGTTGAAGGCCACGGGCAGTTAGCAATACTGACACTAGCATTTAAATCCTGCTCTCTAGCGCTTTTATTTTTTTCCTATAGTCTGAGTTGTCATTAAAAAATACACACAATAAAAGCTTCATTGGTTTAGTTCCGAGAACTCGTGTGTTGAATTGGAGCTGTTGGTGGAGGTAGTGGGAGGGAATGAGAAACCCAACCCAGACAGGCCTCTAGTCAAACTAAAGCTACAGACATAAAAACGCTACTCAGGCCCTGCCAAGAAGTAGGAGCCAGGGCCCAGGCGATGATGTAAAAGCAGTGGGAGGACAGAGGTTTATTTGAGCAAGACATGAGCCCTGGGCTGGGAGGCAGAAGCATGCTCTGGTGCAGTCTTGCCCAAGTCACAGTGGGACTCCTTGCAACTTGCTTCTCTCCCTGTTAATGACTCCATTATATCCTCCAAGCAGAGAACCCTGGAGTGGAAGATGTTCTCCAGTTCTTTTCATTTCCTCTTATTTTAAATGTTTATTATTAAAAGAGTAAGAAAAATTATATCTTGAATGTCTTTTCCTCTCACCTTGTCACTGCCATTTTCTTAGCTCAGGATCTTAATGTCTTTTTCTTGGGTCATCGTAATAGCCTTTTAAGTAGACTGCCTTCTGGTCACTCCCCACCCTCCCTCCCATTACTCTACTCAGCTTGACCATATTATTACTCTCCTACTTAAAAACCTCCAAAAGTACCCTATCACTTGAGTATACACTCCAGACTCCTTAGCCTGGCCCTTTTCTTTATAATTCTAGCCATTCTCATCTCCTCCTGATTAACCCACAGATTAAGACCCATGCAGACTAGATGTCTCATCTGTCCCTAAGTATCTCTTGAGTTTGTACGCATCATTTGCTTAGAGTGCCTCCCTCTCCTTTTGTAATCCTACTTATTATTTCAGATCCAACTTAGATGGTACCTGCTCTTTGAAGCCTTTTCCTGCTGCCTCAAGTAGAGCCTTCCTCTTGGTCCCCCCAGCTCTCAGTTACAGTAGCACAGGGCACATTGCTTTAGAATTAGGCTACCTTTTCCACTAGACTACCCACAGCGCCTGGCACATATACAAATGAATGAAGGTGAAATTAACTCCCTGAAACATCAATTGATGTCAGAGCTTATCATTCATAATAATCTCCACAGGGTGATAGTTCAGTGGGTGCCGGTTGGCGTTACCGCCAGTAGCACTTTTGTACAATAAGAATGGGGATTTCAAGGCATCCAGACTTGAGTTCTAATCCTGGCTTTGCTGATTAAAAGCTGTGTGATTTTGAGCAAGTTTCTAGATTTCTGAACCTCCATTTCTTTGTCAGCTACAAAATGCGGGAAATGCATGAAATATCTAGGTGTGAAAACTTTAAGAACTAAAGCTCAATACAGATCCCAGGAATTATTTTGTGGATGGGGAATGGGGATGAAAAAATGATGCCCAGCCTTGGTTCCAACCTCTATGAGCTGGCAAATAGTGAATTGGCTGTGTCACTGCTGACCTGTGCTTTTCTTTTCCTACCATGTAGATCCTGACAGCTTCTTTCCTGACATACCCTATGCTCAGGACCCTTAGCCTGCAGCTCCATTCAACTGTCACCGGCAGCTATGTCTCCGGCACTTACTCCATCGTCTTTGTCAACTGTCCCAATGAGCAAATTGCCAGAGATATTGCCAGGTATGGTGAAGGGGCTTAGGTGCTGCCCCAGGAGGCCCAGGGAGCTACTAGGATGCTCTAGAGGGGCCACTTTTGGGCCCTTCTTTTGCTTTTGACAGCCCCGTCTGGCCAGTGATGAACTACACAGCTGTGTGCTTGGGGTGATGTAAGGAGCATGGCTGCATTATCCCCTGGCACATCTTGCTGCTGGCTCTGAAAATGTTGAGTGGTGCATGGGGGCATATTAGGGATATGAGACCCAGAGAGATAGGTGGCTCGCCCAAGGTGTTAAGGTAAGAGAACAGTGGAACCCTGCAGGCTGCGAATTTAAGTCTAATTCCTGGCCCAGCTCTCTTTCTTCTTGGAGATAATCTCTTTGCTCAGTCCCAGAGGTACTCACTATGACAAGTGAGGAGGAGGAGGCCATTCCAAGTATTTGGCAAATTTCTAAAAGCAGCTGTGGTGTGGTAGAAAGAGCACTGGACTTGTAATCAGAGCTTGAACCTTGGCTCTGCCACTTACTGTGTGACTTTGGGCAAGTTGCTTCCCTTTTGTAAGCATTAGTTTTCTGAATTATAAAATGGGATAATGCCACCTACTCACAGGGTTGTTGTGAGGATTAAATGATATGAAATATGTACAATCCTTACCCCAGTAACTTGAACGTAGTATTTGCTCAGTGAATGTGTGTTGTATCTGAATTTCCCTTCTTTACTCCTCTTTAGGAGCTGTAGCTTTGAAGATGGTTAGTGGGGCTGGAGGGTAATGAATGGGGTTCCTTGCTCCCTTTCTTCTTGCTCCACAATTCAGCATTCTTGAAGTTTGATGATAAGACTAAGTTATAGTATTATGTTGAATCTGGTCTTTGGAGGCACACAGCCTCCAAATTGTTGGTCACAGGTTAACCTTGCCCTTGCATTTGATTCTGTCTTTTCTTCCCCCAAGCAGAATGTTTATTTTTCCTTCATTAATATGTTACCTTGGAGAATAGCTCTTGTCTAAAAGAACCTGTGATTACTCCAGAAATATGACTATAGTATTTAGCAGCTAGGAATTGAAATACCCTGGGTATACTAAGGGTCTGTGCTGAACTATCTGGAGCCCTGGATCAGCCACTCTGAGACCTGTCAGGGAACAACTTCACCTGACCATGTATCTGGTCTGTGAGCTACTAGTCTATGAACTTTGTGATTTCTAGAGGCCCTTGCAGCTCTACACGTCTATCTTCTGCGTTCCTCAGATGAGCATGAAGGGCTGAGCTCCCCGTCTGTGACTCACTGCTGGTCTTAGTGTGTGTGTGTGCTTTATCTGTCAGCTTGCATGTTCTCTCTCTCTCTCTTTGGCCATAGGGGCTTTTTGCATAGCATAGTCCACCACAGTTCTACAGTCTTTTACCCAAGGACAGGTTGCTGTGATCAGTTTACACTCCCATAGAGATTGGAAAGGGCCTGGGAGGCAGTGGGTTATTTTTCCTGGAGGTTTAACTCACTCGCTGTATTTGCGTGCCACCTTCAGAACCAATTAAATGTAATCCCTCAGCAGATGATTGAGTGATCAAGACTTGCAGCAGTTGCTTAACAGATTTGTGCCATGTGCCTCTCCTTATGGTCAGGGATTTATTTAGTTCCTGGAACTTTCCAAGGCAATGAGGGTGGTGGTAATGCCACATTAATGTGGAGCCATAAATAGAGCACTGTTCAGCCTGGAACTCAAAGAAAGAGAAAGTAGGTCAGTTCTCTTGGCAGCAGCTGAGGAAAGGAGGGATCAGTGAGCAGGGCTCAGATGAGGTTTATTTGGCAGGGTTCAAGCACTTCAGAGAACAGAGACCGGGCCCCCGAGGCTGGCTGAGACCTGAGAAAGGTTTGTCAGGTTCTGCCTGATTCTGAGGGCTTGAGTTTTTGATGCTTGGGAACACTTCTTTGTGTCGATGACTTGGTGGTGCTCCTGGTTCTGTGACACCTGTACTGGTTTAAGAACATTTTATTGTGTTCACCAGGGCTTTGCAGGGGAATCAGAGACTATCAGACTAGGAATTCCAACCTGTGGTCTGTCAAAAAACTAACTTAGAGGTCTGCAAAGGTGATGATTGTGCTCTTAGGGCTATGGTAGAAACCTTCACAAAAAGAAAAGATGAAAAGGGCCTATATTTGCCAAAGGCAAACACAGGATATGATGCTTTTTTTGCTTTTAGCTGGAGTTGTGTCAGTTCTGTGTGGTCACATGGGTATCTACAGATCTGAAGCACTGAGTGTCAGCCTGGTACATATCTAATAGATAAAAGCAGAAGAAGGTGGTGTAATAAAAGGAGTTCTTCGTGGCGAAAAGGCTGACTGAACTGCCCCTCTCATTGTACAGCAGGAGAGTCAGATTGAGTGAGGGGGACATGCCTGTCTTGGATAGGTGCTCAAATACTTATTCCTGGAATGAAAGAAAAACTTGCATAAGGTCACACAGCCATCCTACTGCAGGGCCAGGAATGGAATCCAGGTCTTCTTGTTCTCCATCCAGTGTTAATTCCTATTCCTTAAGCAGACTGGGCCTGTCTTTAAAACTGCCTCTCCAGAGCTGCTTCCTTACTTCTCTCCCCACCCAGGGAAAGACTTAGAAACAGCTCTTGAGAGGTTCTGTGCATAGCAGTTATGGAATGTGTTGATTTGAGGGGAGAGGGGCATTCTAAATGGTTATCTACTGAGACTCAGGTTTCCTGGGTAATTCCTAGGAACTCCTGTCCCCTGTCCCTTCTCTTAAGATCCTGGACATTTGCCCCAGTGACTGTCACTCTCTCTCTTTGCTTTAGGGCTATACTGGATAAGAAGCTGGCTGCCTCTGTGAACATCCTGCCCAAGGCATCCTCACTGTGAGTTTTGCTAGTGGAGCAGGGTGGGTGTGCTCGGTCAGGTCCTGGCTGGTTGGAAGAGCACTGAACTAAGGGGAAATTGTCCGAGAATAACTCAAAGGCATTTAATTGATCAACAGTTCACTGTTGATTTGTATTCAAAGGAAATCAACCAGTGGGTTTATGTCATCCAACAAAAGCAAAAATAGGTTATGTATCCAGAAGACAGAAAAAAACCTACACTTTAGGAACAGTGAATCTTGTCTGCACATTCTTTGTTTAAATCAGTTTGCTTGCTGTTAGCAAAGAAGTCAGACTGAGTATTCCATCCTTGAGTACGCCAACTAGGGATATCAAAGAAAATCATTTCCGTTGCTTTTAGATTACCTGGAAAAATTTGAGAGTTTAGCATATGTGACAGGCTGTTTCAGTGGACTGTCTGTCTTTCATTTCATTGACACCTTCACTTTAGTTAAGCCTGGTCTGCACCATTTCCCTCATCAAAATATTTCAGCATCCCAGTACTACCTGTGCAGGATTTGTCTTATGCCTTAATCTCTGATCAGCCTGTTTCTCATCTTCTTCCTCCCCTGGTGGTGTTGGGGGTGGTGGTGGAATAATATCTACTCTAAAAATCAAAACAGAAAAGTGCTGTATAATGAAAGCCTGTCCCCCTCCCCCCCAAACGTTGTCATTCCCTCAGTGGCTCACAATACCTATAGCTATGGCTCCCAGATTTGGCTGTGCTTTAGATTGCTGAGCTCCATCCTAGATCCACCCAATCAGTCTCACTGAGGGTGAGGCTTGGGCCTCTGAATTTTTAAAAATCGTATAGGTGATTCACATAAAGCCAGTCGGAGAACCAATACTTGAGAACTAGAATAGAATTTCAGCTTATCATTCCCTTCATTTGTCTATCCTTCCTTATAATTGATCCTTTTACCACAGCTCTCTGAGGCAGGGCCAATGGCCTGGGTCATCTTATGCTTGCCATGGGTCAGTGTAGATTTTCTCAGGCCAAATTTCTTTCCTTTTCCATGATGCTGTGCTGTTCTCATTCTCTTTTCTAAATATCGTCACTGACTTTGTTTTTAACTATTGGACCTGTTTCCATATTTTATAAGGCTCACTGCTTCCTAAAGCCACCTGTGCTTTTTTATTTATCCATTTGTGGGCACTCAGCTTTGAGAGTCAGTGATAAAAGTAGCACTAGTCCAAAGGATGGGGAGGGCCCTGGAGGCCATGAGTATAAGATGAGTGTTGAAAGAGCTGGAGAGGCCCAGTCTGGAGGAGAGAAAACATAGGAGTTTCTGCAGGGCTGTCCTGAGTGTGCTTCATGTGGAAGCTGGGGAAACAACTGGGAGGCAGATGTTGGCACACCGTAAGAAAAACCACCTTGAGGAAACCTTTAAGGTAGATGGACTTCCTCAAGAGATGGTGAACCTGTCACCTCCAGGAATGTTCAGGCACATGCTAGAAGCATACATTAGAATGGTTGGACTAGATGACCTGTGGGGCCTTAACCAACTCTAGACTTTTTTATATGGGCTCGGAAAGATTTTAGTTTCCACCTCAGTAAGTCACCTAATTGGGCCCGGTTTGATGTTTCACTGGGCTCATCTTGTGAGCAGCATAATGTGTTTTTGTTCTCCTCTTCAGATACTTTTGGAATGGAGAAATAGAAGAAGCCACTGAGATCCTGTTGGTGAGTGAGGATGGGGGGATGGGGCCTTGATAGGGGAAGAGTGAGACCAAGGCCTTATTCCTTGGTTTCAGTTAAAAATGAGCAAAGATCAGCTGATTGAGGTTCTTGCCCCACATAAGATGCCCTAGGTTCATTTGTGAGCCAGTGACAGGGCGTGGTGACCTGGGAGGAATGCTGTCTCCTGAATGGCCAGATGAGTGAGCAGCTGCAAAGCTGGGGCTGATGTCCTAAGGCAGTGATTTTTTTTTTTTACAGTTAATAAAGACAAAGACTTCCAAGGTACACGTGCTGTCCAGCTACATCAGGTAATGCCGGCATCTCTTCTCAGCCAGGGACGTGCTGGGGGCTAAGTGAATGAAAAGAGTATGAAAAGCAGGAGACCTAGAGCCTAGTCGCCAGCCTCCGATATGACCTTGAGCATGTCCCTGTCCCTCAGATTCTCCATCTATAAAATGAGAAGCTGGAATGAGTTAGTTTAAATGAACAGTTCTCAAAATTTTGGTCTCAGGATCCCTTTAAACCTTTAAAACTTATGGGGGACCCAAAAGAGCTTTGTTTATGTGGGTTATATCGTTTACTGTATTAGAAATTGAACTGAGAAATTAAAAAAATATTTTTAGTTCATTCAAAATAACAGTAATACAGCCATTACATATTAACATAAATAATGCATTTTTATGGAAAGTAACCATATTTTCCAAAAAACAAAAAAGTGAGAAGAATGGCATCATTTTTGCAAAATCTGGCTTAATAAAAGCTGGATCTCCTCAGAAGCATCTTTAAGTATTGGGACAGTTTTAATCTAATGGTGATAAATTCAAACTTTCCCAACTTCTAATTTTTGCTTGAAAACATGAGTTTTTTCATTGGCAACAAATGATGTAAATTGTCTTCATTTGAATGATGGGCTCACTTTGTTCATATTTGAGAAAATGTCTACCTAATACTCAAACCTGAGAAACCATGATTTGCAAAAGTGACAGATAAATGATGGTTGCTCAGGCTTGGAAGTAAAATGGTGTTCAAGCCTAGTTTAGCTTGTGACTCAAACCATCAGACAAGTTTAAGACAACATGAAACTTAAGAATATAGCAGAAGTGCTCTGCGTATGCTTCCCATTTTGCCACACAGAACATTAAAAAGACATGTACTCAAGGGTTGAAATTTAATAAAGATAGTAACTTTTACCTCTTGATCACGGATGTTCTTAAGTGAATTTGACTTGTTTTAAATGCACGTGGGTGGTGGTGGAGAATACAATGACAGCTAGTACAGTTTGGTGCTGTCGTCTTGATGCATGCTAAGGTGCCAGCAGTTTTACTTACCATAGCTTTTGCACCATCAGTGCAAATGTCAACATAGTGAAAAGATAAATGAAACATTAGTATTATGATGACAATAGTTTGGCTTCATGGACCTCCTGAAAGAGCCTTGGAGTTCCCCAGCAGACAGAAGATCCCACTTTGAGAACCACTGGTCTAAGTTCTAATCATTCCAAGTGTGGTTTTTGGAATAACTGGCATCACCTGAAAGCTTGCTAGAAATGCAGAATCTCATGCTCAACCCAAACCTACTGAATCAAACCACAGTTTAACAAGACCTCCAGATGATTCCTGTGCACATTAAAAACTTAAGAAGCACTAGTCTAAACCAGTGATTCTTGATGCTCACTACTGCAGTCACTTGGAGACATTTTTTAAATTACCGATTTAGGCTCCAAGGCTCAGATTCTGACTTAATTCATGTGGAATGGGGATCAAGTATGGTGTTCTTCAGAAGTACCCAGACTGACTCTCATCTGCAGGGATGCAGGTCACCTATCTGATGATAAAACCCTTTTCCCCTTCACTTATTAGGGAGGCAGCATTCTGTGAATATATGGCTATACCTGGATCTCAAGTCTAGTGGTAGAGAAGGCCCTCAGAGGTGTGGGAATAAGGCACCCTTGGTAGAACCAGCACTGTTGAGAAATTACAGCTTAACTGGGAGGGACAGCTTCAGGGTTAAAAGAGCGAACCCCAGAGCTTGACCTCCAGAGACAAATTCTGGCTCCTCCACTTGCTAGTTGTAGCAGAAGTGCACGCAAATTACTGAGACTTTCTGTGCCTCAGTTGCCCTGTCTATAAAATGGAGATCATACTAGTACCTTGGGTTATGCATATTGGAATGAATCTATGTGAAGTGTACACATGAAGTGCTGTATCAGTGTCAGCTCTTACTACTAAAGTGTTAAAAGTGTCTTATTCTGTATGTCTGAATACTGTATTCAGACATATACTAAACTCATTTGTCTGCTTATAAAAACGCATATAGTGGTCTAGGTGTCCATGAAATAAGTTACGAAAATTCATTATCCTCGGGCAAAGGATAGAATTACCCAGCTCACTCCAAATGTTTAAGCACCTATATGCATGTTGTGATTTATTAAGCATGCTATCTCATGAGAATTTTATAGTGCCTCATTCAGCAGAAAGGAAGAAGAGGATTATTATCCCCACTTGACAGATGGGAAACTGAGGCCCAAGGTCTCTTGTTTCTTCAGTCTGGAAAGTGAAGAGAACTTGCATTGTGTGCCTAGGGCCAGGTGAAAGAAATGGGGCGGGGGGGCCGTGCAGAAGGGAGAGATTCCTGTGGGTTTGGATGGTCAAGGAAGATCCCTTGGGAAAGGTCAATGGTTGAGTTGGGTCTTGAGGGATAGAGAGGCTTTTGATTGATCAACAGGAGCAGAGACAACTTTCTAGGAGGGGAAAAGAATACAGAGGTATAGAGGTGGAGTTGTTTGGAGAAGGCACAGTGATGAGTGTGGGATAGTAATAAAGACAGTAGTTTAACATTTAATGAGTGTATACAGTACCAGTCAGTGTACCAGATAAATGCTCTGTATACCTTGTCTCATTTAATCCTCAGCAATCCAGTCATGCTGGTACTATTTTTATATCCCCTCTTTTGTAGGGCCTTTAGAGAAATTAAGTGATTTGTCCATGGTTACATAGCTAGTAAGGGGCAGACTTAGAATTGGAACCTGTGTCTGTGAGACTCTAAAGCCAGCTGGCCCAACTCTCTGCTTGTTGACAGATGGGAAACGTAGGCTCAGGACTGGTAGGCCACGGGGCTGGTTGGGCTGCAGCAGATTGCAGAAGGCCTCGAGTGAGGCTGGCCAGTTGGGTTTTATTGCATGGCTTGATTCTAATCATAGTCACTTACAGGGCTCTGCTTTCTTTCTAAAGGTTGGTGCATCCTTTTGAAATCCCAGAGGTCTTCAGTCTTCCCATGGACCAAGGAGATGTGCACTATTTAAAGTGGCTGGAGGAGGGCATGGAGGAGGACTGAGTGGGGGAGGCTTTTTGTGCATCCTGCTGGCTGCCTCTAGCCTTCATCATCTGCACTCTGGGGAAGGGGAGGCCTCTTTCTGCCTCCTAGCATCTCTGGATTCCATGTTTTTGTCAGCACAGAGGAGCTAAGTAACTTGTGGAGGCTGACAGTCCGAGGCTCCTGAGGCTGGAAGAGGAGGCTGGGCCAGTTGGGCCAAGCGAGAACCCAGTGGAACTTTTCTCTGAGTACTTCATGCTTAAAGGTGGCCAGAGCGAGGATGGCTGTGTATAGGGGTCCAGGGGAAGTGGCAGTGAGGGTGAGGTTTGTCATCTTCTCCTGCAGTCACTGGGCCTACCTCGAGTGCCTAGGATGTAATTACTCTCCTCATGAGGAGGAATGGACCTGATGACTTCTTCACTCAGAAGCGTGTGGGATGAATGCCACCTTTTGGGGAACTGGCAAGCGCTTTATGCAGAAGGATGAATTCCTAATAGTGGAATTTCAGGGACAAGCAGGATTATTTCTCCAGGCTAAAGATGGTGTTTGTTATTCCTGAGTCCTGAGGAGGGGGGCACTGGGAATGGGCTTCAAGAGTGTGTGTAGGACAAGGGGAATATTAGGGCTTAGACACAGCCTCATGGGTTAGGAGTAGGTCTTGACTCTTCCTAGCCTGAATGTGACGGACGTCAGAAAGTTCTGGTGCCTTGCTCAGTGGAAACAGGTTTTGAGCCCACCATACTAACCTTTTCATTTGAGCGTTGAAACTGAACATCCTAAAGTAGGAAAGAACTCTGGGGAACTGCTGGACTGGTGTTTTTCAGACTTACTCCACAGAGCCCCAGGGGTTGACAAAAGGTACTCCGGGGCTGCCTGGGTGTGGGGGTAAGGATATGAGGTCCCCCACCGATAATGCAACCAGTGCAACTGTGCTTTTATGATGTTTATGTATTGAGCTCCCTTGTAAGATTTGGATTTTTTAAAAAAGTTTTCTGTTAAAAGTTTATAAACCAGTAGTCTAAGCCAGTCTCCATTTTATAGATTACTAAACGAAACTGAACTGCACTGAGGTCCAGAAAGGGGTGGCATGTTGAGTTACGAATGGTACAGCCAAGGCTGCTCACCCTGTGTCTGGTGTCCGCCTTTACCTGCTCCACGTGTCTCAGGTGCAAGAGGGCAGAGAAGGCAGAGCCCTGTGGGGTGAGAAGAGAGCCCCCTCTGTGCCTTTGTCACAAGGTAACTCCACTCTGGGGAGACCATGGGCAGTTTGGGTAGGACCCACAGATTTCTGTGCTATCCTGGGCCTTTCTTCCCAGACAGAAGGCTGTGGGAGGGGTACTGCCAGGCTCTAGCTCTGACATCTGCTGTGCTGCTTGGACCTTAGTTCCTCCAAATATGAAATGTGGGAGGATCTCCAAGGGCCTTTCGATGAAGACCTTCTAGGGACTTTAGGCTGAGGCCCTTCCTAAGGTCCAGGGGATCCTATTTTGATAGGCAGTGGGGATTTTGGAGGGCTGCCTCAGGAGAAGAACAAAGAAAATGATAATGGTGATGTCCTTTTTACAACGGATGTTTCTGATACATATAAAAATCTTGTGTAAACTAAACCCTACTGAAAATGTTCTGGGGACCCCAAATGGACTTGCCCATTATTGCTTTCAGGATAAAGTCCAATTTCTTGGTCTGGCTTTTTTTTTTGGTTTATAACATCGTGTGATTTCAGGTGTACGTTGTTATATGTTAGTTTCTATATAGACTACATTGTGCTCACCACCAGTAGTCTAGTTTTTATCCATCTTGGTCTGGCTTTCAAGGCCCTTCACAAGCTTGCCTCAACTTACTTTTTCTCGCATCATCTTCACGTCTCCTCTCCAACTCTGGCAAGTGGATAGCTCCAATATGCTGTGTGATGTTACTCCTGTGTTCAGGCCATCCCCTCTGCCTGGACTGCCCTTCTGCATGAATGCTTGTGAAATCTGGCTGTGCCTTTGCAAGGCCTGGCTCCCTCGGTTGGAAGGAATCTCTCCTGCCTTGGTGTCCTTGTTATCCTTGTGCAACACAGTTAGCCTCCAAAAATATTTCTGTATTGTGAGCTGCTCGAGGACAGGGGCATGTCTGAATCTATGTGATCTCTTGCACAGGGTTTGGCAAATATTTCCCAAATTGATGTTTCAAGGATTTGAATAACTAAAGCTTTCTCTACAGTCCCTAGTTACTTTGTAACTTATGGAATTGGCAGACTCCAACATTTTTTCCTGGAACTTTCTTAAAGTGGGACTAATTCCAAAGGAGATTTTTCTTTCTATGTATGGCCTTCACTGGATCATTTTCTATGCTGACTGTGTATAGAAAACTGTTTCTTGGTGGCCATCCTTTGCCTCAGTGTCAGTTGACTATAGGAATGGGAGAGAAGAGGGACAAAACACGAGCTGTCTCTGCTAGGTACTATCTTAGGTTCTTAATTATTTTATCTTATAACTCAGTGTTCTCATTTTGCAGATGAAACCTGAGCGCAGAGAGCATAAGACACTTAAAATAAGTGGCAGAGCTAGGCTCTGAACCCAAATTTGATTCTAAACCTGATGCTCTTACTGCCTCTTTCAGAGAGATTGGATATGTCACTTTGTAGGCCAAAGACCCGGAGAGCCTGCTGTAGCCAACTCTAAAGGAAGAGGTATTCGTTCTTAAAACATCTATGTGCTAAGTTGGTCTGGCACTTAAAAATATATTACTTTGGTTACTTTTCCCCACAGATCTGGAGGTTGGTGATAGTATCTTCATTCTACAGATGAGGGGATATATTTAGAGGAGTTCAATGATTTTTAGGCTCTGCTTAACTCCAACTGACATGGTTTGGCCACTAGACCTCACTGTCCTCCCAGAATGATGCTGTGGGAGCTGGGGCTAGGACCTACACCAGTGTTTCCATGTGGGAGTTCCTTCCCAGCATTACACAGGAAGTATATGTTTTTTGTATCTAGAATCCCCAGAAAAATCAGTTGAGGAAATGAGAAAAGGCATTATAATTATTCATGAATGCTAGAGCTTAAAAGCATAGAGACATTACTGGTTTGAAGGGATCCACCTTCATCAAATAAAAAACAAGAGCAAGAAACACTAACATGTGGAGTTGAAGCTTAAGAGAACCAGGACAGGAGCACGCAGGAGAGAAATGGGTACTATCTCAGTCTTGCTTGTGATTGCTGCCATGTGATAGGTGTGTGTGTGTGTCGGTAGCCCTGTCTGCTGCAAACCGTGAGTGATTCTTGCAAATAAAGTAAGTTTATACACATGATATACTTTATACAAATCCTTTGAGTGGTATTCCAAGAAATAATCTTTGGAAGCAAAATAAATTCTTAATTTGGCAATTTTGACATGTGACTCTGTGTATTGTTAACGTTGCTAGGATATTTGAATGTTATCTAAATATATCTGAATACTACCCAGTAATGTTCCTTGGCGTTTTCTAGTGTTCAAATATCCCCTGTAGGCTACAGTTCTTTGTAAATACTACTAAGCTTAATATTCCTATTTGTTAAGCAAAAATTTTTCAGATATCTATCATAATGAGGAAAGCATATGAAGAACATTTGAAGTATTTTAAGAGTAACTTATGATTTAGGGAATTTCTGAAAATTCTAATTTCTTGTTCCTAAATTCCAAAGATAAATATTTGTTGTAAGTTTGTAAACACTAACCTAGACTACAAAGAACCAGGCACTCTCCAGCCTGGGGAGGACCCCTGCTCACTGCAGAACTTGGGCTAGACCCCAGGTCTCTTGACACCTGTGCCATTCACTTTTCATTCCAGTCCATTGGTTTCAGCCCAGAGAAGACCGTCCCATCCCCCTTCCCCACCACTACCATTTGTGGTTTTGTTCCAAGGGCAGTTATAAGGTTGAAGTGGAAAAAAGTAGGAGCCATAGTTAAGATTTTTAAGGGCAGGCATTAACACTCGGGGATTAACAGGCTACATTTTCCCCCTGAAACTACATAATTCAGTTGTACCCATGGCCTTCACCTCACTACAGCTGACTTTCTCCTATCCCTTCACATCTCATATTCTCCTCTTTCCAAACTGCCCCAAGTTTAGAGAAGTTTACTGAGAGTAATAATCCATCACGTTTACATGTGAAGGGTTCCCTCTCAACACCTGGCGATTCTCTGGCATCTGAAGGGTGAGGAAACTGAAGCAAAGGAACCTGACCAGGTGGCACAGGTTGTAACTATCAGAGCCAGGCCTAGAACCCATTTCAGATTTCTAGAATGGTGTGCTTGTGTGTACTGGGTAAAGTTTTATAGTGCCTGTACTTAAATATGTTAATAGGGTCAATTTCTAAGTTCATTCCCCACTTTTTACTTCTCCGTGGTCCTCAGCTAATGTTTTTTGCCCCCATGGGTCACGTACTCACAGTAGAAAAAAGGTTCCACGTCCTCTGGGCCGCAGGGGTGAGAATATTGCTGAGAGAATGTGGTAGGCAGCGGCAGGAGTGGCACGTAGCCTAAGAGAGGGTGGGGTCCTGCCATTCCTCCTCAGCCTCCAGGGAACCAAGACCAGAACCAGAAAGCAGGGCCAATTCCTCCTGCTACCCAACAGCTGATAGTTCATTAGGAGCATGACGGGCAGTTTTTCATAGGGAGCTTTTAAATTGTAAGTCAGACACATTAATTATAACTTTAATATAACAAATGTTATTAAAAGCAGCAATTCAAAACCATAAATCTTTCTGAAGGTGCACAGGGTTATAAGGTCAGTTGGCAGTAATGCAGCTATTATCTGGTATGAATGGAATGCTGGGGTGTGGAGTCAGGGTGACCTTGCTAGGCCTTATGCTGACTTCCCAAGTGGGGAAGATACCCTTTCTCTCCTCCCTCTTCAAGTCCAGAGCCTCTCTGGAGCCAGAGTAGAGGAGGTGCAGATGCACTGTGACAGGCCTTGCTCATCCTGTGCTTTTTAGAAGCCTAGAAAACAGGCCTGGGAGGTTGCTGAGCTCTCTGAAGCCAGGCAGGAAGCCACAGATTGGATCCCAGGTCCCACACCCCTGCTAAGCTGGAGGCTGGCTTCTCAGCTCCTCTTCCACCTGGCCCAAGTAGGGGGCTTCAGTGGCAGCAGCTGTGGGGCTGAGAAGGGGGAGAACTAGGCCCAAGTCCAGCTTGTCCCTGCCTGGGCCATGCCAGGGAAGCAGAGGGAGGTGGGTGGGTTGTGCACAGGAGATGAGGTCCCATTTGAAAGGCACTGTAGGAGCTAAGACTTGAGGCAAGGGGCATCTGAACTATCTGACCCCTGAAGGCGCACAGATAGGGAGGGGGATCAGCCCAATAATGGGAAAAGCCTGCTCCACAGGCCTGCTGCCCCTGCTGCCCACCCCCCTTTACTGTTCATCCACCTTCGCCTTGCAGCTGGCAGCCTACAAAACTCAGCCAAGCTGGAGGCTACAGCAGCCGCTGGCAAGGCTGGTCCCCGTCTGGTGCACCCACCCCCCATTCAAGGCACTTCTTTCCATTTCCAATCAAGTGAGTCAGTTTCTAATATCTCTGGAAGCAGCAAAAATGAGGGGTCGCCTCCCCCTTCCATTTTTGGTTTCCCTCCAGATGGGTACGGGTTTAAATGTCGGTTCTAAGAATTATATTTTCACTGACAAAGGCTTCCCTTTGAGGAGACTAAATGACGCAGGCCCTTGAAAAATCCTAACCTGTCCCAAAAAAGTGATTGTCAATTTCAGGGCATGGCAGGGGATAAGAGGGAATGAGTCCCCTGGGCTTCCCTATGGGGTCAAAGCTGTGTCATGGGCTGAAAGAAGGGGGCAGGAGCTGGACTTTCACATTTAGTTGCAGCACATGGCCCCTGGAAGAGGGCCAAGAGAAAGCCAAGGGGAGGAACCAGGCTGGCACCAGAGAGAATGTGTGGTTGTATGTGTGTCTGTACACCTAGAGGCCAGGGGCCACATGCATCTGCCTGGAAAGTGAAGGCACACCTGTGGATGGAAGCTTATATGAGAGTGAGTGTGTATTGTTCGGCTGTGTGTGTGGTGGGTCTGGGGTGGGAGGCCTAGGAAACAGTTTGAGGTTAAGCATGACATGGCTTCCTTCTCTCCCACTTTCTTTCCCTGTGCCTCAGGTTTTCAAGGCTGTCTCCATTCCAGCAAGGCCAGGCCCAGCTCCATGGCAACTAAGAGGCAGTGCGGCCAGGGAAAGGAAAACTTCTGGGACCTCAGAAGCTGACATTAGCAGCCATCACTCTTAACCTTAATAATTGGGCTCTGGTGCTGGTACCTTCTGAGGCAGAGATGTAGCCCTTTCACTGCTCACATCCTGAGAGTCCCAGGGTCTCTGCCGCACAGGCTTTCACGGAGGCGCTGGCATTCTCCCGCCCTCACCACCTCTTTCCAAGGGCAGGGGGAGTGGCAGGAAAGTGGGAGAGAAAAGCTCCGAGGGCATCCTCGTATCCACCTTCCCCCATTCTCTCTCGGAGGTTCCTGTTCTTATAACGTGGTCCCTGGGAGGACAGGCTGCCCATGGGTCTGGTGTGAAGGACATCCAGTGGAGGGACGGCCATGCACACGTAGGGTGTGTAAACACACCCAAAAGGGGTGAGAGTAAAGGGACACAGAATTGGGAACAAAGAGAAAGATTCAGGCCTCAGGAAAAAGGGTCACAGAGCCAGGGGGACACAAATTCAGAGGAACACGTGAACAGTCTGAGGGAGTGTGGGGTGTGTGGAGACACTGAGAAATAGCCAGCGGACCTTAGAGGCACAGGCAAAGGGATGATGAGCCTGAGGCGGCCCAAGAGCAGGGTGGGCACAGCAGAGAGGCACAGGCCCTGGCCTGGCTGGCAGGCAGGAAGGGCCTTCTGCCAGGCACTGTCTTGCTTCCCTCTCCCACCCCTGCCTGGAGAGAACCGGGGAGCCTGTGGCTTCCACTGTCTCTCCTTTGGTTTCCAGGGCTCCTGGCATCCTCTGAGGGCTCGTCAGTAAGGGGTGGTCCCTTCCCACTCCACCAGGTACTGAACCTTGCCCTCGGGCGTGACCCTCCGAGCCAACACCTGGTACTTCTCCCCACAGGCTAACCGCCCAGCTGCGCCAAAGTAGTTGGTGATGGATGACTTGAGGTGGGACAAGGATGAGTCATCTTCACTGATGCTCTCGAATGTGTGGCTGTCGATGCCTTCGTCTGGCCGCTCGGGGCCTGAAGCCCCCTCTGCACTGCTGTCCGAGGGGCAGCGTCCACCCAGCTCAGCTGCCCGCCGCTTTGCCCGCAGTGGCATGTACGCTTTGGCTGCCAGCTTCCTCTTGCGGCTGCCCACTGTCCGTCTATATCAGGAGGGGAAGAGGAAGATGATGGGAATGAGATGGGATAATCCTAACAAGTGCCTCTCTCCAGGCACTCTCCTGGGCACCAGGCACTGGGCTCTGGGCATGGATTATCTCACTGGATCCTCACAACAGCCCTGAGGAGGGAGGCTCCAGAGAAACCTCCAGCTGGGGAGTGGTGGAGACAGGATACCAACCTGGGTATGTCCCGCTCTAAGGCACGTGTTCCTCATACTGAGGATCTCAGCATTGCACAAGTCCAGGGGCAGCATTCTCTGTGCCTCCTGAAGTCGTGCAGTGCGGAGGTCCTGCTTATACTGGCTTGTCTCTCACCTGGGACTCATCTGTAGCTGGTGAGTCAAATAGGGGTAGGAGTGGGGTTACAGACTAAAGTACCTTGTACTCCAGAGCCTGGATTGGAGACAGACGTCTCTGTGCAACACACACGGACAAAGAGGCAGAGGTGGTAGAGAAACAGACACAGGAAGAGGTACACATTCACAGACGCTTAGAAACCAAGACCTGAAGAGCTAGTGAGAACACAGAAACAGGAAGAAACAAATGAAAGTACAGAGGCAACAGCAGAGAAAGACACTGAGACAGATGTTTGGAGACAGAAAGAGTCCCAAGACACACTTCTGTGGGCATTGCACTTTTAATTCTACTTTTGCAAGGGCCTCAAATATCCTAAAATACAGTTAAAGGAGCCTCAGAGTTCAGAAGAATTTGTGTATATGCTTTTAAGCCCCACCCTCCCTTTGCTGCTGAAGACCAGCTCTTGCCAAACAGGCTGTACCCTCAGCTAGGCCCCAGGGTTTTCCATCCCCTCTCCCAGATTCTACACCCTGCAGGATGTCATTTTCCCCTCATCAGGCTTCCAAATCAATGGTTCTTTAGAAACCTGGAAGACAGACACCAGATTCAGACAGGCAAGAACCATGCTCAGGGAACCCTGCAGTCAGAGGTGCAGACATGCAAAATTATGGTGTGCAGAGGCCAAGGACCCCAGAATGAAAGAACCTCTGGTCAAACAACCCCAGAACTGGAAATACCCAGCAAGAAGTGTCACACAACCTTGTGCAGCAGGTGAAGAGGAGTGACCTGAATGTCCATACTCAGCCCCTGTCTGAACCCCTGTGACTCAGAACCAGAGGGTCCCAGACCCAGACTCACAGTTGCAGAAGGCCAGGTCCCTGAGCCCCAGACTCAGAATGAACCACACGTCACAGAAATGGAAGGTGGAGGGGCTGGGGGAATGACGGAACTTGAGCCCAGACCGGCAGGAAGCTTACCTGGAGTCATAGGAGAGGCTGGTGGAAGCAGAGCCAGAGGTGCTGGCGGCGTCAGTGGAGTCCACGTCTGAGAAGAAGGTCTGGCCTGAGCTGGCGCTGAGGGGGAGGAGAGGGTGAGCCTGCTGTTGGCCCTCAGCACCCCTTGAGACCTCTCCAGTTGTCTCTCGGCCCCTCTGACACGCATCCTTTGTCCCAGCATAGGCCCGCCTTCCCACTGCTGAGCTTCCTGTCACACCTCAGCTGCTGCCTCCTCTCTGCCTGTCCATTTTCTACCCACCCAGCCTTCAAAGTCCAAGGAGTCAAGAAAGCCTTCCCTGACGACCCTCCCCTGGTGGTGATATAAGCACTGGTGACAATAATTAAAGATGATCATTAATGAGCAAGATCCCAGGGGGCCGGCCGTAGTGGTTAAGTGTGCGCGTGCTCCGTTTGGGTGGCCTGGGATTCGCCGGTTTGGATCCTGGGTGCGGACCTACTCACTGCTCATCAAGCCATGCTGAGGCGGCATCCCACACAGAGCAACTAGAAGGATGTACAACTATGACATACAACTATCTACTGGGGCTTTGGGGAGAAAAAAGGAGGAAGATTGGCAACAGATGTTAGCTCAGGGCCAGTCTTCCTCAAAACAGAACAAAAACAAAAACTCACTCTTGTAGTGATTAATGTTAAAAAAAAAAAAAAGAGTGAGATCCCAGACACCAGTGCAACACTTTACAGGCCCAAAATGCTTTCCTTTACAGTATCTTGTTTGAATCTCATAACAACCATGCAAAAACAGGTGAGGAGGTAATTGTGGAAATAAAACGATGGAATACACAGTCCTTTCCCTTAGGCGTATCAAGCATGAGGTGTGGTGGGAATACACAGGAAGCCTGGCAAGGGTTAGCTAGGGCTTCCTGGAGAAATGTGAATGTGGGACAATCACAGCAATTCTGGTATCAGGAGTGAGGCAGGGTGAAGGGTTGGAGAGGCAGGGAGAGCCCAGGCCAGGCAGGCCTTGAAGCCTGCTCTGGGGAGCCCTGGAGACTACAGTAGGGCGATGTTAGGCTGAAAGCTCTAACGTATAAAGACCCTTCAGGCAGCCTTACGCAATATGGACTTTTTGAACTGGGATAACCCCAAGGGAGCTCCCACTCCCTCACATGGCTTTCTGCTTCCCCCACTCCAGAGCCTGCCTTCACTGCTGGGGAATGGAGGTGCTCTTCCCCACTGGATTTCCACCCTAGTCTCCAGGCAGACCTCTGCTGGGTCTCTCCCTGTTACCCTTTTTTTTTTTTTTTTTTTTTTTAAAGGAAGATTAGGTTGGGGGTAAAAATTGTGCCAGTTTTCCCCTTTTTTTTTGTGAGGAAGATCAGCCCTGAGCTAACATCCATGCTAATCCTCCTCTTTTTGCTGAGGAAGACTGGCTCTGAGCTAACATCTATTGCCAATCCTCCTCCATTTTTTTCCCCCAAAGCCCCAGTAGATAGTTGTATGTCATAGTTGCACATCCTTCTAGTTGCTGTATGTGGGACGCGGCCTCAGCATGGCTGGAGAAGCGGTGCGTCGGTGCGCGCCCAGGATCCGAACCCGGGCCGCCAGTAGTGGAGCGCGCGCACTTAACCGCTAAGCCATGGGGCTGGCCCCCTGTTACCTTTTTAAACTCTGAATCTCATCCAGCGTGAAATCGAATATGCTGGCCAGGTGGTGGTTGGTGCTCCAGGCGGAGGTAAAGTCGCTCTGTGGACACAGAGGAAGGAGGGGGGAGGGTGGGTCAGTGAGCATCAAATCAGCCTCCCACAAACACCCTTCTCCCTGCTGAGGGCCACCCAGGCTGCCTGCTGGTCCAGCCAGGTCTTCTGAGGGCTGGACCCTCCTGAGGGTAAGACTTGTCACGTCCTCTTTATTTCCAGCCCTGACCAGGGAGCCAAGTCACACCGGTTCTAGTCTTGGCTCTGTTTCTAGCGGACTGTATGACCTTCCCATCTCTGGGCCTCAGTTACCTCGACTGCAAACTTTGGACGGTACCCCCTGCCATGCTTCACTCTTAGAGGTGTCAGGAAGCACAGTAGAATGAAGTGATGGTTGTAAAAGGGCCTTGTAAATTGCCAAGTGCTGCGGAGATTTGAGGCAGTGCTAATACTGCTGCCCACAGGGTGGGCTTCAGTGAGGATGCAGGGCTACTGAAGGAGGAGAGAGAGAGATCTGGACTCCTGGTCCTAGGCTGGGCTCTGCCACCGCCTGAGGTGACCTCAGGAAAGTCATTGCCCCTCCCTGGCCCTCCATTTCCCCACCTGGACAGTGGGGGCAAGGATATTACCTACGCCTGCCCCATTTGGGTTCTTGGGGGAACTTGGGGGGATAAAAGAGTGGTCATGCAGTGCCTGGCTTTTCCTTGTTTAGCTGTGGTAGGAACTGGCTTCTCCTTTAAGGGACATGGGAGAGTCCCCTGGGCCTGGGGGACTTAGGTTTCTGCACAGGAATCCCTATTATGTGCTGACCCTGCATGTGAAAGTGGAGAGGAAGAAAACAAGAAACTAACACTGGGAATAGCATCTTCCAGCAAAAACTTTGATCTTTTTCTTCTATAAACTCGCCTTTTCTGCTGCTGGAATTCGTGAGGCAACAAACTGTGGAGACAGAAAAGGGAGAGGGTGGCTCAGTCAGAGCCTGAAGGCCCAGAGGTGGCCCAGAGGGAGGAGAGGCAGGGCTGGGGTCACAGCAGTGGGGTGGTCTTCACAAGGAGACCTGGGGAAGAAGGGGAATCCTCTGGGGCAGTAGGTGCAGGAGGGTGTGGAGGGGGGCATGGTGGGCAGAAAAGAGAAGGTGCCTCTCCAGGCACATGCATCCAGATGCTCTGCTCCCCGACGCCCAGGATGAGGGGGCTCAGCTCAGCCAGGAGAGCTAGGGACCCCCTCCACTCTGACTTCCCCTTCAGCTCTCTGCCTAAGCCCTCATCTGGCAAGACTGGGTCCTGTGATCTGGCTTTCCTTCCAAGCAAGGCCATAAGGGGCTGTGGTGGAAGGAGTCAGGGATGTGGGATCAAGGCTCGGCTCAGTCACTGACTGGCCCTTTCAGGGTGCCTCCAGCTATGACTAGCTGGGTGTCAGTCCTCCTTGCTCACTTGGATGCCACCGTACTCTGGGCCCACCACAGAGCCCATCAGCTGGGGCTGGGAGCAGAGAACCCGAGGTCAGCTGCAGCCCTAGCCCCTGTGTCCCCGGGCACTGACCCAGGCTTGCTCTTTCCTCTCTTACGCAGCTCAGAGGAGGCGCCATTCTCAGTGGGCACCAGGCCCTTGTCAGGCAGCAGCTTCCCTGGAGGGTTGGGTGGGACGCGGATGCGCAGGCGGAAGATGCACTTCTTCTTCTTGATCTCCTTGCCACAGAGGAACCTGGGGGGTAGCAGGGGGAGGAGAAAGCTCTGGAGTCTGTCGGTCCATCCTCCTGGGGAGGAGAGTCAAGTGTTAAAACTACCCTCTCCGCCTCCCTGGACCCAGAGCTAAAATCCTGAGTGGCCCCTGGACACACTGATTCCTCAAAGCCTATGGGATCAGGGGTCCCGGCTGGTGGCTGAGAATGTGGCTTATGGCTCCTCCCTGTCCTTACTCCTGCATATGTGTGGTTCTTGCTGCTCCTCTCCCTTTCCTTCTCTGCCTCAATCAGCCCCAAGGCCACGTCCTACAGGAAGGCCTCCTCCAGCTCCCAGTGGAACTCCTATGGTTGAGACACTGGATTCTACACCATTCTATTCTCTGGTCTCCCCAAGGAGACAAGCACGTCCAGGCACTTCCCTTATCCTTCCAACACTGGCTGAGCTGCCATGAGGCTGCAGAGGTGACTCAGACACAGCCCTACCCTCCAGAGACTGTCCAGGGGACGGCAGGAGGCCCCATGTACTCAAGAGTAGGGCTGTGTCTGGGCCCCAAACCATGAGAAGATGGAAGAGAGAGTGGATAATCCTGTCTAGAGATGTCTGGAGAGGTTTCACAGAAGCAGGGACCATGTCTTAGTTCTCACTGTGTCCTCAGCACCTACAAAGGGCTGACACAGAACAGCAGTTCAACAAATAGTTGTTGATGGAACCAATGAATGAAAGGGATTGAAGAGCATCCTGGGCAAAGGGAAGAGTGTGAGCAGAAGCGCCGAGTAGGAGGACAAAGGGTTCAGTATGGCTGACAGCCAAGGTACATTAAGCAAAGGGGCAGTGGCAGAAGGCATGGGCTGGGTCTGATCAGAAGAGGCCTTGAATGCCGTGCTAAGGAGCCCAGGCATTCCCTGTGGTGCTAGCCAGGGACATGTCAGCTGTGTGTTCTGAGAGGAACTCAGAAGTCTGGACGGGAAGACATGGGCTGGGGTCAAGTTAGAAGGCTACAGCCTGCCTGAGAGATGGTGTATCGATCCCTCAGTGCCCAGAACCAGATGGCTAGAGCAGGACGGGCCCTCAGAGATCAGGGGTGCAGCCCCATGTGGAGCTGAGCCCAGTCCCAAAATGTGTCAGTCTGCTGGAGTGATCAGGAGAGGCATCACAAAGATGCTCCCTGGATCTTGAAGGATGGGTAGGATTTATCTAGTCAAAGAGAAAGGGAGGGAGACCCAGGCAGGAGCACAGCTTGAGGAAAGGCTATAAGGTAGGAGGACACTTTAAACTGAAATCCCACCTGTCGGGGGGCCCCAGGGCACCCCGCTTCCCTGCACGCACCGGCTTTTGTAACTGTTCAGAGCGTTGAGGAGATGTGGTCCTCGGTCCGTCACGGGGGTACTGGTGAGCTAAGGGGGAGCAGGCCAGCAAGACAGTCAGACCCAGGCACATGGTGTCTAAGGAAGCCTCAGGCCCTGTCCCCTCGCTCCCCGCAATCTCCTGATGCTTCCGAGTCCTCCAGGTGAGGACCACCAACTTATTCCATGATCTCAGACAAGTCTTTTCATCTCTCTGAGCTCACTTCCCCATCTGTAAATGGGGAGAATAACTCCTGTCCTAAATGTAACAAGAGCTTTAAAAACGTCCCTGCCCTTGACCTGGTAATGCTACCCCATGGAATCTATCATATAGACATAAAGTGAAACATGAACAAAACTTTATGTACAAAAATGTTCATGCAGTGCTGTTCCTAATGATGGCCAAGGATGAAAAATGGGAAAGAAGCTACATGCCCATCAGGAAGGAAACAGTGAGTGAGCTTTGGTGGAAACCAATGCAGCCATTAAAAATCCTGACAAAATTTTCTTCTTTCATAATATGGAAAAGTATTTATGGTATAATGTAAACTGGAAAAGAGATGATTTAAAATTGTATATACTGTATAATCTAAGCCATGTAAAAAGAAAAAATGGACATAGAAGAGAGGATGGTGGGATATGCACCTGTGCATTAATAGCAGTTGTTTCTGGGGGGTGTGATGTGAGAGTATGGATGACTTCTTTTTAAGTATACTTCCTTATACTTTTTGGTACTTTAAAAATTTTCTACCAGGAACATGTATGATTTTTTTATAAATCAGAAAAAAAGGTTATTTAAAAATATACCACCTCTGCCTATCTTTTAGGGCTTTATAATATGTATGTCTTTTATAAATTATTAAACACCGTAAATGAAGACGTTATATGAAAAGCTTTTGCCAAGCATAAGGGTTACTTTTTTTTTTTCTTTTAAATTCCTGTCTCATCAAAGAAGGATTTGGGGCAGTCAGTAGAGAAGACGCCTCACTCTGGATGTGGTGGAGAGGATTCTAAGGGTGTCGTTAGGGAAAAGGGGGTATGGCCCCACCATGGAAGTGGTGGGGGAGGCCCTGGCTCAGCTCCAAAGCTGTGCTCACCACCAGCAAGTCACTCTCCACCTCTGACATCCTGCAAGTCTCTGGTTTGTTACTTCACTCCATGCATCTCAGGCTCCCAGGACCCCCGGTGACCACTCTGCTATTCAGAGTAGGACCAGCAGGGGGCAGGCCCACTTCACTTTCCATTCTAGCTAGGTAATCTGGAGTGAGTCAGACATCTCTGGAGAGAGCCCAGCTCCCTGCAGCTGAGTTGGTGAGGCCCTGACCTGCCCACTGCCAAAACCTGGGTCAAGAAGCCCCTTGGAGGGCACAGGCTCAGAGGCCTGGACTCAAGGATGCAGCAGCTAAAAGGCTTGGGTCTTTGTTCCAGCCAGCAGCCCTCCCAGACAGGCAGTGTTGCTGAAGAGTGAGCACTCAGAGACCTAGATCCTAGTCCTGCACCGTGTGACCCTGGGCAAACCTCTCGCCTCCGTGGGCCTTGGTAACCCCACCGTGGAATGGACTCCTGCCACTCTGGCGTCCCATGGTCCTGCATACCTTGCCAAGCTGCAGGAGTTCCCAGTGGTGGTTGACAAAGGCCAGAATCTCCTCAAAGTCAAAGTACTTCTTCTTGCTCTGCACTCCCAGGTTGTAGAGGGCCAGGTGAACCACATCCACCCTGGGCAAGGGGGCAGGGAGGTGGGGCTAAGGTGAGGTGGCAGCCTGCCCAGCCAGGGGTGGAGCCTCCTGGGTCAGGGCTGAAGGGCTGGGGCCAGGCTGGGACCTGGTGGCTGGAAATGGAATTGTTCCTGGAGGGAGGAGGGAGGGGAGGGGTGGGGGAGGGGACAGCGGTGGGCCTGGGCCAAGCCCCACCCTCTCACCATCGCAGGGGCAGCCTCTCGATGTATTCTGGGCCCTGGTTACACACAGAGCAGAAGAACAGGTAGAACCTGTGTGGGGGTGGAGAGGGGGCCTGTGGTGGGAGGGGCTCTGACACCCCACTCTAGTCCAGCTCCTCACCCCCTCACTCCCCACCCAGTCAGCATTGTTCTCATTCCTAGGACTGGTGGCTTCTAAGGGGGTAAGGATGGGGACAGGACAGGGACCAAGAAATACTCCCCTACCCCTCTAACCCGCACCTCAACCCCCTTCCCCAGTGTTGTTGCCCTGGAGGGTGGCTGAGTTCAGAGAGTGAGATGAGCTGCAGTGGTCACCCTCTTCCCTCTGAGACACACACACACACACACAATCACAAACAACATGAATCACCAACCCAGACACGTGATATCTGGTGTGACACACATAAGCCTTCCATTAGCTTAGTCCCATTGGTTGGAAGCCAGATCAAGTCATCCATTTCCCCAGGGGCTCCCACAACAATCCTAGGCAGGGATGGGGCAGGGCCTATGTCACTCCTCTTTCCCCAGACACTTGAAGAGACCAGGGCTTAGGGAAAGTAGGGCTTCGTCTAAGGTCCCCCACAAGTCAATGGCAACTGGGGATGTGGTCCAGAATCTTCCTCTACTGAGAAGGCCTTCCCCCTGAGCTGCCTCCCGTAGACAGGTTCACACTATCATAGACCCCACTTGTCTAGGGCCTGGCAGGTAATCTGAAGGAGTTGCTGCTGCTGTCCCGTCCCCCCACCTCAACCTCAGGGCTGAGCCAGACCAGATTAGTACCTACCGGTCTCCGAACATCATGGGCTCATTGAGGCACTGGGTGCAGGCCTCGTGGAACCACTGCCTGCACCGGTAACACTGCAGCATCCGCAGGTACCACCTGGAGAGCCAGAGGAGCCAGGGTCAGCCAGGCCCGCACTCCCAGCCAAGCATGAGCCTCAGCAACGTTTCCCAGCACAAACTCGCCCTCCACCAGGGGAAAGGGGAGAGAACTCACAGCTTCTGAGCACTTAGGGTGTGCCAGGGGAGGTCCTGGAAGCAGGGCAAATGTTACCTCATTTGATCTCACCAGGTGATATAAGACAGGCCACTGCTCCCATTTTACAGCTGAGTCAGAAGTTAAATGGCTTGCTCAAGGTCACTCAGGAAGCAAGTGGTGGATGGTGATTCAGATCCTGCCCTCCTACTTCAAAGCCTGTGCTCTTGTGCCATGTCACACTGGAGCCCCCATCTCTGGACTGCACCCCACATACTGCTTCCCAAACACCACTGACAGGGCAAGGTTTGTCCAGAGACCTCCTGGGAGGATAATGGCTCCTGGGAGGATAATGGCTCCTGTAAGCTCCATGGGCAGCACTACATCTGGTTTTTTCTCACCTGGTATCGTATCTGCTCTATCATGGGCATTTAACAACTATCCACTGAATATGAATGAAGAGCCAAAACTATTATTGCCTTAATAACACTCAGGTGTGGTCCGTGGACTACCTGCATGAGAATCACCTGGCGGGGGGGGTGTGTGTCTAGGTTAAAATGCAGATTTCTTGGCCCACTCCAGACCAACTCAATCTTTGGGGGAGCCCCTGGGAGATGCATTTTTAACAGTTGCCTTGGGCAACTCTGCTCAGTAAGCATTGAGAACCACTGCCTTAATGCTGGAAGGTCTGTATAAGCACTTCTCCATCTGTTATCCCACAGGCTTCTCAACACCACGGGAAGCTGATGGGGCCGAGGTTATTAATTCCACTTGAGAGATGCAGTAGTTCGAGCGATTTGTCCAAATTACCCGGCAAGGCTGTAAGCACAGCTTTCAACCCCTAGTGCTCGTCAGCAGAGCTTGGGGTTGAGATTCAGGACTTCCAGGGCTCCTGTAGGCTGAGCTTCCTGAGGGCAGAGATCCCCATCTCTTACTTCAATGGTTTCCTCCCAGAGTGTCTGGTGCAGTCAGCCCAAGGAAGCCGGCTCAATTGCCCATGGCTACATGGAGGCCCAGACCAGCAGGGAAGAATCAAAGACTCCTGCCCCATAGCCAGGGCAAGAATCTCCTTCACAGCCTCCCCAACATACGACCGCAGCCCCTGCCTACACACCGCCAGGGAAACGATCTCACCAGTAGCCTGTTTTCATTGACTCTGACAACAGAAAGGTTTATCTTAACTTTGGTGCACCACCAGTAACAGCTCACATTTATTAAGTGCTTACCAAGTACCAGGCACTTTGTGAGCCTTTCTGTGAATTATGTAATTCAGGCTCTGCTCACAAACCCCGTATCACGGGAAAACTGTTATGAGAACTGAGGCTCAGGGATTGCACAGCTGTAAGGGGCTGGGAGGATTTGGACACCTGGGGCCAGGCTCTTTAACCGCTCTTCAACACTGCCTTCTTTTCCACGGTGCCCCAAGCAGACACTTGCACTCTCGATGCCCCACTGCCGCGGAGCGCTAGACTCGCCATCTCGAGCCCCGCCCTCGGGCTTCATCGCCGCGGCCCGAGTACTCGGGCTTTCCGTTTGAGGTTCCGCTCCCTCGGGCCCCACGCCACAGCCTTCCTTACCTTCAGGCCCCGCCCCTCGAGCTCCGCCTGACTCTCCAGGCCCGCCCCCGTCGGGCCTGCCCGCACCGCCCTTGCGCCCGGACCTGCCCCGCCTCCTTGGGGGCCCCGCCCCGTGCTCCGACCCTCGGGGAGGCCCCGCCCCCGCGGCCTTACTCTCCCGGGCCGCCGCAGTAGCAGTAGCACTGCTGCTGGTTGGTGCGGTGGGGTGAGTCCCACTCGAGCTCCTCGGGCTGGTAGGACAGCACCATCTTCACGGCCTGCAGCGTCCTGGCGATGGCGCCCTTCTTCAGCGCGCCGCCTTTCTGCGGGGAGATGAGGACCCGAGTCACCCGCGGGGGCGGGGGCGGGGGCGGGGGCGGG